CTTGCCCATGTTACTCCAAACACCATCTTGTTCCCTGTAATTTTCCACAGTCAGAACAATGGGTTTCCCTACACTTGGCAGAAGCTATAAAAAGCCCTGGGAACAGCTCCATTTTGCCTCTTTCCTGCTCAAACATCTGGACTATGGACTTATACTAATGGAAGCATTCTAACCAAGGGACTGAGGACCTTCCAACAATTTGGAAGCAACCAGAGACTTAACAAGCCAGCAGTTTATTCCATCACTGCTATGAATGTGATCCAAGAACTTTGCATTTATTGTATGTATTTGATTCTTTTAATAAATTTTAACTCTCACCTCTCTGTTTTATAATTAAACCTTTAGATATTAGATACTAAAAGATTGGCATCAGCATGATTATTGAATAACATCTGAGTTGTAGATTGACCTGGCTATGTGTCTGGTCCTTTGGGATCAAAAGAACCCTTTTGTTTTATGAAATTGATTTTAAATAACCACTCCTCATTAAGTCTAGTGTCTGGGTGTTGAATCCAGGACTGGAATACCTAAGGAGGCTGCATTTCTGACTTCTTGTTAGCCAGTGTGGTGAGACAGAAGTTTACTTTTGTTGCTGGTTTAGTACATCTCATGGAAGAATAACCACCAGTTTTGGGACATCTGCTGCGGGGAAAGCTGGCACAGGATGGTGGCTGTGACATACCAGGGTACAATCCAAACTAATGAGCAGCTGTGTTACCTCTGCCCTGCAACCCTGAATGCCTTACAATACCTTGCTGAAGTAGCTCCCACTTGGGCCTCTCACAAAAAGCATAACAGCATGCAAGCCACATTCGGGTTACACTCTGGGTTCTCACCAGCCTGGGTCATACTGCAGGATGACCTCAACACACCCCCAGTCTTAGATTTTCCCCAGAAATGTAAGTCCTGCCAGTCCTTTCCTGGACAGTACAGGTTATATTAGGTCTATTATTTCTTTAAAAGGAATAATATGCATACAATTTGCCACCCCAAATAGAACTTCCCTGACACTTTAGTTTAAACACACTGGATTAGATAAAACAATACAACAAGTTTATTAACTGCAAACAGATAGAGTTTGAGTATGTACAAGTAGTGAGGCATAAAAGTCAATGGTTACAAGAAAAATAAATATAAACCACTACTGGTGCCTAACTTAACAAACTATGTTAAATTCAAAGCAAAGTTTCCTAACCACATGCTCTCAGCAGTCTTATCATCCAAACTTCTTAGGTCAGGATCCCTTCCCCAGTCCAACGGCTGCTTCCTTTATCCCTCCAGGTGCAGTGAGTCGATGGGAGGGGGGGAAAGTACCTTGGGGCGTCTGTCCCCCGGACTGAAGAATATTTCCCTCTGGGTACCTGGAGACAAAAAGTCTACAGGGAAAGATGTTCCCTGCTACTTTTTTCTCACTTGTTTGAGCTTCCTTTGTTTCCCTTCCTGTTTGATGACTCTGTTTATGGCTTAAATTCAAATTAAGCAGAGCACACATTCCTTTGTTTAAGACAGACCTGTTTGCCAACCTCAGTTTGGAACATGTGTTAATAACACCATACAGAAACGTCTTATCACCTCACACACAATGTTGCCACACATATTTTAACAGATTATATTGATAGGCAAATGATGAGTTTTCAAATGACACCTTACAAGGTGTACTTTGTACAAAGATTATTACAATAGTGAGCAGGATGTGACTAAAGGGGTATGTTCTGGCGGAGCTGGGTGGTGGGGGTAAGGTGGGAGGAAGCTCATACCGGAGGCAGTGGTGCCGGAACAGACGGGGCCAGGGGGCCACGACCCTCCCACTTTTCAAAAGTGGAAGGGCCTGGCCCATCCACTTTTCACCACTGCGAACCATGCCCCCTTCCCCTCCAGGAATAGCTGGGTACCAGGGGCGAACTGGTACGGGAGGGAATTGCGGGGGGGGGGAAGCTGGCATGGGAGGAGGATGGGGAGAAGGTGGAATAGCTGGGTACTGGGGCAAAACTGGCATGGGAAGAGGGCAGGAGGAGGGTGGAATAGCAGGGTACCGGGAGAGCTGGCAAGGGAGAGAATGGTGGGGAAGCTGGCACAAGACGGGAACCGGGGGAAGGTGGAATCGCTGGGTACTGGGGGGAGCTGGCATGGGAGGGGAAACAGGAGAAGGTGGAATCGCTGGGTACTGGGGGGAACTGGCATGGAAGGGGACAGGGGGAATTGGCACAGTAGGGGAACTGGGGGAAATGGAATCACTGGGTACCATGGGGAACGAGAGGGGAACCTGGGGAGCTAGCATGGGAGGGGAAACAGGGGAAGGTGGAATCGCTGGGTACCGGGGGGAACTGGCATGGAAGGGGACGGGGGGAGCTCGCACAAGAGGGGACAATGGGGGGGTGAAGGGAACTGGTACGGGAGGGGAACCAGAGGAAGGTGGACTCGCTGGGTAGCATGAGGAGCTGGCATGAGAGGGGACGGGAGGAACTGGTATGGGAGGGGAACCAGGGGAAGGGGAATTCACTGGGTACCATGAGGAGCTGGCATGGGAGGGGACGGGGGGGGAACTGGCATGGGACGGGAACCAGGGAAATGTGGAATCACTGGGTACTGGGGGGAGCTGGCATGGGAGGGGACAGGGGATGGGGGACTGGCACGGGAGGGGAACTGGGGAAAGTGGAATCGCTGGGTACTGGGGAGAGCTGGCACGGCAGGGGCTGGGGGACTGGCACAGGAGGGGACAGGGGATGGGGGAGCTGGCACGGGAGGGAAACCGGGGAAGGTGGAATCGCTGGGTACTGGGGGGAGCTGGCACGGGAGGGGACAGGGGACTGGCACGCGAGGGAAACCGGGGAAGGTGGAATTGCTGGGTACTGGGGGGAGCTGGCACGGGAGGGGACAGGGGACTGGCACGGGAGGGAAACCGGGAAAGGTGGAATCGCTGGGTACTGGGGGGAGCTGGCACGGGAGGGGACTGGCACGCAAGGGAAACCGGGGAAGGTGGAATTGCTGGGTACTGGGGGGAGCTGGCATGGCACGGGATGGGGGACTGGCACGGGAGGGGAACTGGGGAAGGTGGAATCGCTGGGTACTGGGGGGAGCTGGCATGGCAGGGGATGGGGGACTGGCACGGGAGGGGACAGGAGACGGGGCAGTGGCATGGGAGGGGAACTGGGGAAGGTGGAATCGCTGGGTACTGGGGGGAGCTGGCACGGGAGGGGACAGGGGACAGGGCAGTGGCACGGGAGGGAAACCGGGGAAGGTGGAATCGCTGGGTACTGGGGGGAGCTGGCACGGGAGGGGACAGGGCAGTGGCACGGGAGGGGAACTGAGGAAGGTGGAATCGCTGGGTACTGGGGGGAGCTGGCATGGCAGGGGATGGGGGACTGGCACGGGAGGGGAACTGGGGAAGGTGGAATCGCTGGGCACCGGGGGGAGCTGGCACAGCAGGGGCTGGGGGACTGGCACGGGAGGGGACAGGGGACAGGGCAGTGGCACGGGAGGGGAACGAGGGAAGTTGGAATCGCTGGGTACTGGGGGGAGCTGGCACGGGAGGGGACAGGGGATGGGGGACTGGCACGGGAGGGGAACGAGGGAAGGTGGAATCACTGCGTATCGGGGGGGGGGGGGCTAGCATGGGAGGGGACAGGGGACGGGGCACTGGCCCGGGAGGGGAACCGGGGAAGCTGGCACAGCAGGGGCTGGGGGACTGGCACGGGAGGGGACAGGGGACAGGGCACTGGCCCGGGAGGGGAACTGAGGAAGGTGGAATCGCTGGGTACTGGGGGGAGCTGGCACGGGAGGGGACAGGGGCTGGGGCAGTGGCACGGGAGGGGAACCGGGGAAGGTGGAATCGCTGGGTACCGGGGGGAGCTGGCACGGGAGGGGACAGGGGACAGGGCAGTGGCACGGGAGGGGAACCGGGGAAGGTGGAATCGCTGGGTACCGGGGGGAGCTGGCACGGGAGGGGACAGGGGACGGGGCAGTGGCACGGGAGGGGAACCGGGGAAGGTGGAATCGCTGGGTACCGGGGGGAGCTGGCCCGGGAGGGGACAGGGGACAGGGCACTGGCCCGGGAGGGGAACCGGGGAAGGTGGAATCGCTGGGTACCGGGGGGAGCTGGCACGGGAGGGGACAGGGGGCAGGGCAGTGGCACGGGAGGGGAACCGGGGAAGGTGGAATCGCTGGGTACCGGGGGGAGCTGGCACGGGAGGGGACAGGGGGCAGGGCAGTGGCACGGGAGGGGAACCGGGGAAGGTGGAATCGCTGGGTACTGGGGGGAGCTGGCACGGGAGGGGACAGGGGACGGGGCAGTGGCACGGGAGGGGAACCGGGGAAGGTGGAATCGCTGGGTACTGGGGGGAGCTGGCCCGGGAGGGGACAGGGGACGGGGCACTGGCCCGGGAGGGGAACCGGGGAAGCTGGCACAGCAGGGGCTGGGGGACTGGCACAGGAGGGGACAGGGGACAGGGCACTGGCCCGGGAGGGGAACTGAGGAAGGTGGAATCGCTGGGTACTGGGGGGAGCTGGCACGGGAGGGGACAGGGGCTGGGGCAGTGGCACGGGAGGGGAACCGGGGAAGGTGGAATCGCTGGGTACCGGGGGGAGCTGGCACGGGAGGGGACAGGGCACTGGCCCGGGAGGGGAACCGGGGAAGGTGGAATCGCTGGGTACCGGGCAGTACCGTGGGAACCATTTGAGGGATGCTGAAACCCACCGAACCAAAGTAACCCTCCTGTATCTGACGGGAACCGCTTCAAGGCAGGGCTGCTCCCGCATCCCCAGCACCTCTGCTACCGGGGGACGCCGGCACTGGGCGAGGGGCAGCCGCAGCAGTCCCGAGCCCCGCGGGCAGGCGGGCGCTCGCGCGCGGCTGTGTCGCCCCGTCCCGAATCTCCCTGCCCCGGGCCCGTCTCCGCCTGGCTCGGTCTCGGCTGGGGCGGAGGCTCCTGAAGCGCAGCGGCAGCCGGGGGTTGGGGCGGCGTCGGAGCCATCCGCCGCCATGGTGAGTGCCCCCCGGGCGGCAGGCCGCCGCGCCTCCCCGAGCCGGGCCGCCGTTGCTCCGGGGCCTGAGGAGAGGGCAGCCGAGGCTGGGCGCGGCCATTTTCCCGGCAGGGTCCCTGACTGCGCGGCGTGTCTGTCCTGAGGCGGGCGGGGCCTGGGGGGCTGCTGCGTCCCGCCTGCGGTCCCGGGGTCCCCCCGAGCGGGATCAGCCCCCCGGAGAGCCCGCCCCGGGGCTGCTGGAGCCTCCGAGTGGGGTGGGAGCTATACGGGGTGGGGACCCTCCCAAACGGCTGCTTTGAGCCTGCCTGCTGCTTGTGCGGGCGTCACACTGCTCCGAACTGCCCCTGACTCCGGATTGGGGCTGTTGACACGGTGCTATTGCTCCACCTCACTTCCGGGCTCTCCTTCGGACCCCCTGATAATCCCTGTTGTTCCCATCAAGGTGGCAGGCCTGTGAGTCAGGCCGCAGAGGGAAATGCTGCTCTGTTTTTTAGGGGGTGCTGGAGGTCATGACACACGCCAGGACTTTGTTGTGTGTTGTACCTTTTGCCCATCCTTCCTTGAGCCACACGTCCCCCCTGCGGTTCTGGAGTTAAATAACGGCTGGCGCAGGTAGAGAGGGGTTTAGCAGCATGGACAGGTAAGGGAGGTAAAAGGTACCCCACCCTTTGAGGCAAGATCTGAAAGGGGTTTGGGGCGTGTCAGTACACATCCTGTATTATACCTGCTCAGATCTGTTTGCCTGAATCAGATCGTCTGGGTTTTCCTAGGAAATGGGAGGCAGGGCTGGGTGGTTGTTGTTGTTGTTTTTTAAATTTATTTGTGTTTATTTTGTTGGCAAGCCGGCCCTATTACTCTAAATAGCACTGGCTGTTAATAATGTAATCTCTGCTGAATATTTTTATCATAGGGATCAGTCTGTAATGAGCCTGGTTCTGTGATAAATAAATGCCATCTCCATTTTGCTCTTTTCTTTAATGTTGTTAAGATATCACAGATCAGTCCTTCCATTTCTGTAACTTTTTGAGGGGGCGTGACAATATGTACACCTTTTACTGACTTATACCTCCCTTACTTGTGTTTACAAACATCAGCAATAAGTTTAGATGGGGTGTGTACATATTTACTTTATGTCGCTGTCTGTTCCTGACTTGAAACTGAGTTGTGGGTCATTCTTCCCTGCCTTACAGTGGGGATCTAAACACTTCCAAGAGAAGAGGGGGAAGCTTGTTATGGGGGGATGGAGGTTGATTCTCCCATGTCCCGGTGCTGCTGAGAGCCGGTGAGAAGCACTGCTGCTGTATGTGCAGCCAACATGGTTCATGTAGTTGTCCAGGAGTGATTCTGCTTTCCCACAGTTGTGGCTGTAAAATTTCTGGGTTTTGTTGAAAATCTGCTGTATTTTATTTGTAGAAGGGAGAAAAATACGCTACATTTTTGGATTGCCTTTTCACCTGCCCTGTCTCCATACTATTAAGCCCCATCTACTCTGTTGCAAGCTGGACCTACGTTTTGAGGCAGGATTCTTTTCTATGGCAGTCTGGTGCAGAAGACTGGAAACTCAGCAGCAGCTTTGTTTAAATGTAAAACAAAATCCTGTAAATTAATTGAATATAAAGAATAACACTTTTTATGCTGTGTCCATATTTCCAGTTTTCTTTATGCCAAAAATTTTTGTATGAGGAATATGTTACTGTAACATAGAATTTGTCAGGAGTGGTTTTAGAGGTTTTTACAGTTGAGTAAGGTTTTAGTTGGGGCTTTTGGGACACAATTTGAGAGGAATGTGAGTAGTATATGGCTCAATAGCATTCATCACCATGTATTTTTGACAGGTTTCCATGCCCCATTTTGGGCTTATGTCCCGCCCTCAGTTTCCATTTCCCTTGGTGTCGAGGTTTGGTGCTGTCAGCCGTTTTGAAATTTTTTTTTCTTATTATGTTTGGTCAGGGGAATGTTGTGTGATTGTGCTTTGATGCGTTTGGTTGATTATTTAAAGGAAAAGGTTGAAAGAATAGAGTGAGAGAGCTTAAAGGAAATGAATTTTTTTAAAAAATAAAGTTTTGGTTAGGTTTTGAGTAGGGTTGGGCAAACTACGGCCCGCGGGCCAGATCTGGGCCATCAGGGCTTTGGATCTGGCCTGCGGCACCACGGGAGTGCTCCCAGAAGCGGCTGGCACCATGTCCCTACAGCCCCTGGGGGAGGGCTCTGCACGCTGCCCTAGCCTGCAGGCACCGCCCCCCCACAGCTCCCATTGGCCAGGAACAGGGAACTACAGCCAATGGGAGCTTTGGGGGAGGTATCCACAGGTGAGGGCAGCACGCAGAGCGCTCTGCTGCCCCCTTCCCCAGGGGCCGCAGGGACGTGGTACTGGCCATTTCCGTGAGCAGCTTGCGGTCAGGGCAGGCAGGGAGCTTCCCTAGCCCCGGTGTACACCGCTGCCACCGTGGAGCCACTCCAGGTAAGCAGCGCCTGGCCAGAGCCTGCACCCTGAACCCCTCCTGCACCCTGCACCCCAGCCCCTTGCCCTGAGCCCCATGCCACACCCCTCCTGCACCCTAACCTCCCGCCCTGAGTCCCCTCCCGCACTCCACACCCCCTCCTGCACCTCAACCCCCTTCCCTGAGCCCCCCATACACCCCGCACCCCTCCTGTGCCCCAACCCCTTGCCCTGAGCCCCTTCCTGCACACCGCACCCCCTCCCACACCTCAACCCCCTGCTCCAGCCCTACATTCATGGCCCTGCATGCAATTTCCCCACCCAGATATGGCCCTCGGGCCAAAAAGTTTGACCACCTCTGGTTTAGAGGAAAAAAGGAAAGAAAGATTGTTTGGTTAGGTTTAGTAAGGAGAGATGATTTTAAAGACTAGAAAGAGAGGAAAAATAAGCACAGGGCAAAGAAAAAAGGATTTAGAGAATAAAAAAAAATTACGCAATAAGAGAGTCTGTGTTACTGAACACATGCAGAGCGAAACATCCTACCCCAGCAACTGCCGGTAGTGAAATGATAGCTGTTCTGGGAGACGAACCTTGGGAGTATCCCCGCCTCTTGGTGGACCAATCAGAAGCTGTTTTACAGCTACATCACAGAATGCACTTTTTGAGTCAGTCCTTTCATGACAAGATTTTAAAACAAGAGCCTTTCAGAAATGGGCTGTTGCGGAGTGGATTATTTGAAAAACTCTAGCCAATGAGCATTTGATCATGTAGAATCATAGAATATCAGGGTTGGAAGGGACCTCAGGAGGTCATCTAGTCCAACCCCCTGCTCAAAGCAGGACCGATCCCCAATTAAATCATCCCAGCCAGGGCTTTGTCAAGCCTGACCTTAAAAACCTCTAAGGAAGGAGATTCTACCACCTCCCTAGGTAACGCATTCCAGTGTTTCACCACCCTCCTAGTGAAAAAGTTTTTCCTAATATCCAACCTAAACCTCCCCCACTGCAACTTGAGACCATTACTCCTTGTTCTGTCATCTGCTACCACTGAGAACAGTCTAGATCCATCCTCTTTGGAACCCCCTTTCAGGTAGTTGAAAGCAGCTATCAGATCCCCCCTCATTCTTCTCTTCCGTAGACTAAACATCCCCAGTTCCCTCAGCCTCTCCTCATAACTCATGTGTTCCAGTCCCCTAATCATTTTTGTTGCCCTCCGCTGGACTCTTTCCAATTTTTCCACATCCTTCTTGTAGTGTGGGGCCCAAAACTGGACACAGTACTCCAAATGAGGCCTCACCAGTGTCGAATAGAGGGGAACGATCACGTCCCTCGATCTGCTGGCAATGCCCCTACTTATACATCCCAAAATGCCATTGGCCTTCTTGGCAACAAGGGCACACTGTTGACTCATATCCAGCTTCTCATCCACTGTAACCCCTAGGTCCTTTTCTGCAGAACTGCTGCCTAGCCATTCAGTCCCTAGTCTGTAGCAGTGCATTGGATTCTTCCGTCCTAAGTGCAGGACTCTGCACTTGTCCTTGTTGAACCTCATCAGATTTCTTTTGGCCCAATCCTCCAATTTGTCTAGGTCCCTCTGTATCCTATCCCTACCCTCCAGCGTATCTACCTCTCCTCCCAGTTTAGTGTCATCTGCAAACTTGCTGAGGGTGCAATTCACACCATCCTCCAGATCATTTATGAAGATATTGAACAAAACCGGCCCCAGGACTGACCCTTGGGGTATTCCACTTGATACCAGCTGCCAACTAGACATGGAGCCATTGATCACTACCCGTTGAGCCCGACAATCTAGCCAGCTTTCTATCCACCTTATAGTGCATTCATCTGGCCCATACTTCTTTAACTTGCTGGCAAGAGTACTGTGGGAGACAGTGTCAAAAGCTTTGCTAAAGTCAAGGAACAAAACGTCCACTGCTTTCCCTTCATCCACAGAACCAGTTATCTCCTCATAGAAGGCAATTAGATTAGTCAGGCATGACTTGCCCTTGATGAGTCCATGCTGATTGTTCCTGATCGCTTTCCTCTCCTCTAAGTGCTTCAGAATCGATTCCTTGAGGACCTGCTCCATGATTTTTCCAGGGACTGAGGTGAGGCTGACTGGCCTGTAGTTCCCAGGATCCTCATTCTTCCCTTTTTTAAAGATGGGCACTACATTAGCCTTTTTCCAGTTGTCCGGGACTTCCCCCGATTGCTGTGAGTTTTCAAAGTTAATGGCCAATGGCTCTGCAATCACATCCGCCAACTCCTCAATGTGTTCAAAGCCATGTATTTTTTCCAACTGCGACTTTAAAATCGGGAGCCTGGACAAAACAGCCATGTTCTTTTACAAAATGCCCACAGACGCCAAGAAACCTGAATTGCCTATGGGTGCTCCAGCTCATGTTCAGAAGAGAAAACCCATTTACACTTATTTTGCTAAAGAGGCAGCACCGGTGCCGAACCCCGCAGTTCATCCTGAAATTGAACTGAAGAAACAGGAAGACTTTATGAAGTGGGAGGTGCTGGGGCGGAGGGGCGGGGATAGGACGAGGCAGGGGGAGTGGGTGGAATGGGGTGGGGCGGGAAGAGACGGTCAGGGTTGGGGAAGGGGTGGAGTGAGGGCAGGGCCTGGGGCAGAGTGGGGGGTCAAGCACCCCCTGGGAACTGGGGAAGTTGGTGCCTCTGCCTCTTTCATATCCCGAACATTTATAGAAGCTTATAAGGGATGTTCGTAGTTGTATGTTAAGTCTCTTTTTAAAGATGTAATTTATAACAGTTGGGCATATTTGGAAATAAACATTTAATTCCAGAATTCTTTGATCCTCTGGAGATAGTGGAAAGTAATGTTTGACTCCTAAACCATCTAGACATGTCATAACTTAAATTGACTGCAAACCATTATGTAGATTGTCCTGAGAAAGCTCTCTATGGGAACCCTACAGGGTGGTTCTGTCTTCTACTCCTTTCTCTTCTCTCTCTAGACTTTATTCCTGGATATTCTCATCTGCTTTTGTAATTTCTACTTTTGTCTTTATGCTGCTGATTTATAAGTCCCTCTTCCCGTCTTTGCAAAAAGAAAAGGAGTACTTGTGGCACCTTAGAGACTAATCAATTTATTTGAGCATAAGCTTTCGTGAGCTACAGCTCACTTCATCGGATTCCTGTCTTGTATATCTAACTTTGTTGGTTTGACTTATATAGCTGAAGTTTAGGGCCAGATTCACTCCAGTTTTGTTGATTTTGCCAGTGTAACCCTGCTGCAGGCTACCTTTATACATTGTAAGCAAAAAAGGCACAATTTTAACTTTTGTTTTGTAAAATCCTTCCTAGGCCAATTTTAAGAAAATGAGAATGTAATCAGTTGTGATTATATTACCATAAATGCATTACTATCACTGATTGCAATGATACATAGAAACATAGTCATGTATTCTTCGGCTTATGAGAAGCTAGTCTTCACTGTAAGTTTTAGAAGGACTTAGAGGGGTCTGCCCAGGGAAGCATGACCAGCAGCCTCCCTCTTACTCTCTCCACATATTGAGCAGTAGTGAGAAAGCTTGTAATGGACAAACTATGGAAATCTCCAGACCCTTGGGGCTCCTTTCCTAAAGTAGCTAGCGCCAACCACAGCCAAGGCCACAGAGTTTAAGTCAAGGCTTTCCACTTCTCTTATGTTCCACCTTCTATGGACATACACACTTGAAACAGAGGGATCTGCCCTGGTTATTGGGCCAGTGGCCTCTCCTCCCCATGGGAAACAGAAGCCAGGAGGAGCCTCCCCGGTCTTCTGACACCAATATTCACTCAACTCTGAAGCTTGACATCTGGGAGCCTGCTTCTCCACTCAGTGACTTCAGTGGAACTACCCTAGCAACTCCCCTGGAATTTTTCCCCCTGACTTCCATTGGTTGTTGTTCCCCTTCATCCCACCCTGACCCTGCCTAACTTCACTCTTCTGCTGTTGTGTTTATCTCCTTTCCCATCTACCACTCTCCTCTTTTCCTTCTGTTTACGTACCCCCTTCTTTACCCCTTCAACCACTCCCCCAAAAGCAATAGTAATATAAATATTAAAAATGAAAAAGCAGACAAACCCTTAGAACTGACATTCCATGGGTGTGGGATGAACTGGGTCACTGTGCCTTTCTTGTGCCGTTATTAATTATTAGCATGGCAGTAGCATCTGAGGCCCCAGTAAGGGACTGGGGCTCAATTGTGCTTGGCATTGTACAAATATATAACAAAGACAGTCCCTGCCCTGAAGAGCTTGTCCTACATCTGTTTTTCGTCTTTTCAGATCTCTTTGGGATAGGGACTGTATCTTCCTATATGTTTTTACAACACTTAATACAAAGCCCCCTTCCTGGTTGGGCCTTAGGTTGCTACTGTAATATAAATAGTGATGTTGGAAATACATGGCATTTCAAATCTGCAATGTACAAATCTTCTCACTGATATCAGTGTAACTCAAATTATAGGAACAGCTTTAACACCTTTTAGAGAACACCCAGTCCTGTGAAAGAAGTGAGTGAACTGGAATTACTTTTATTCAAGCTGACAACTAATAATGAAAAACTAAACAGCTGCATGGAAAGCAACTGTGTTAAAGCAAAGAATACAGAAAATTTAAGGCCATGTCTACACTACCACTTATGTTGGCAAAACTTGTCATTCAGGGGTGTGAAAAAACTCCCCTCCTCCCCCAAGCAACATAAGTTTTGCCAGCATAAGCACTTGTGTGCACAGTGCTTCTGCCAACATAGCTCTTGTTTAGGTGGTTTTATTATGTAGACAGGAGAGCTGTGCTGCTGTAAGTTCAGTAGTGTAGACATGGCCTAAACAGGTAATGTGACTGACCCTTATTTCAAAAGATAAATAATCAAAACAAATATAGTATCATTGTAGGTATCCAAATTCCCTTTGTCAGAAAATCCTGGTTATCTGAATCCATGTGCATCCCCATGTTAGTCACTAGAACTTCTGCTTATCTGAATGCCCAGTTATCCAAAAGCTTTGGATGTCTCCCAGGCCCTTTGGATAAATGGGAGTATACTGTACATTCTTTGTATGTATATGTGTAGAAATAACTTTCTACTTATATAAGCATTGTATTGGGGGGGAAGTGGCAAACCAGGTATGTTCTGGAGAAAATAAATGACAAAGTTCAAGGAAATAAAGATACAATATTTACATAAATTAATAAAGTGGCTTAGTGTAGGCCTGGCCTAGATTCCTATGACATGCAAGTAAGGGTATTTACAAATATAGAAGGAAAGGGTTTAATTAGTAAAAGCACATCTCATAATACTTTTGTTTGTTAGTTATCTATAGCCACACACGTGTTCCACCTTAACTCTGTATCTCCTGACTTGTGAAAAATAGGAAGGGGTCACATTGGGCCAGCTTATGCTGCCTCAGCAAGTTGATACATTTTTTTAAGAAGTTGCCAATTTGTGTTGTGAAATCAAAGTAATTTTTAAAATGAAGTTTCTAGCCTTTATAGTTACAAAAACTATCCGCAAAATGTGAACTGAGTATATCTCAATGCTGTGATATCTGTAACAATAGCTCAGAGAGTTAGGAACTACTCCATTCAGCTCTCTTGTATTTGAACTCTGAATCCTAATGGTGATTATTTAAAATGTCACAATTAACAATAATACAAAATAGGCAGTTTTTATGAGGTGAAATGTGTATGTAATTTGTTTCAGATGTCATTGAAGTATAAAATACAGTACTATCCTATAGAAGTCTTCTATAACACTGGTTCTTTCCCCGCCTCAGGTGAATTTCACTGTAGACCAGATCCGAGCGATCATGGACAAAAAGTCCAATATCAGGAAAATGTCTGTGATTGCTCATGTTGATCATGGCAAATCGACACTGACAGACTCTTTGGTATCTAAAGCAGGTATCATTGCTTCAGCCAAAGCTGGTGAAACACGATTCACAGACACGCGGAAAGATGAACAAGAAAGATGTATCACAATCAAGTCTACGTAAGTACCATAAAGTTATTTTTAACCTTTGTCTGAATCTTGTAATGCAACACTGTAAAACTGCCTCCTCACAACCCCACACACACAGATTTTTTATGAGAATATTCATGTATGGATTAATGTTATTGTTAATAAAATTAATGTTAATAGGCCATGCTATCTGATGACTGTATCACCATACTTTGCTGAAAGCATAGTAGCGATTATTTTCAGAATTCCTTACCTACAGAAGATACAAATGTTAGTCAGTTGAATTAATAAAATGAATATAGTACTATGAAAGCATTGCTACGTCAATGCTAGGACCTTTAATTTACAGGGTAGTTGGGGATATCTTCTTTGTTAATTATTTGCTGTTCCACTTGTTTCTTTTGAGCCAATATGTCCTGCAGCTATGCTTCTTGAATTGAGAATACATATTATATCCTCCATACAGATGTTGTGATCTTTATTTTTTAAAGTGCTAAATCATCAAGTGGATTCTTACGGTTGCACTCTTCTCCTAATATAATATTTTCTGTTTGTTACTTGAAACAGCACACATTTAAAATGAAACCCACTAATTGACACTTCATTCTTTTTTAGTATTAAATTTGCCATTTTTCTTCACTTGTGCACATAGAATTTAAATTGAAATACTCTGATGGCTTTTAGTTTTAAGAATCTAATATGAATGTTTTTAAATTATTTTAGTTTGTAGATAACTTGTAGGTAGTGCTAATTATATTAGAGTTATTTTTGTAACAAATACTTTTGTAAAATGGACGATATCAGGGTTCATCTTATAAACAGCATGTAGTGGTCTCTCCTACTTGCTCTGGGCCAGATTCTGACACTTTTACTCATAATGAGCAGTACCTTATTCTGAGTAGTTCCTTTGATCTTAACAGGATTACTTGCAGCAGAGTAAAATACGACTCATTGACCAGAAGTGGCAGAATCTGGCCATTTGTGATGATTGAGAATAGCATCTTGACATGTGACGTATGACTCCGTGCAACGGTGTCAACCAGTTGAAAATAGGTTTGTAGAGCAAGTGATTTGGGCCAGGACTACAGTGTTATAGCATGACAACTATCCTGCTATGTTGGTCTTGAATCAAAACAGAAATTCCTTACAGCCAGAGCAAAATGTTGGATCCCAAGAATTTTATGAGCCCAAAAATAGTGTTGAGTAGTTCCTCTTTCATTTTCCTTTAGTTTATGTACATCATGATGACTGTGTTTTTTACAGAGGAGCTACAGGAGACTCCATAATATACATTTTAAATTACTGAAATAAAATGTTCTCTCTTGTAGAGCAATCTCTCTGTACTATGAACTCTCGGACAATGACTTGGCCTTTATCAAAGAGTACAAAGATGGTTCGGGTTTTCTTATTAATTTAATCGACTCTCCTGGACATGTAGATTTCTCCTCTGAAGTTACAGCAGCTCTTCGTGTCACTGATGGTGCCCTTGTAGTTGTTGACTGTGTTTCAGGTGAATGTGCTTTAATTAAAAGATTTTGCTGCATCATTAAAAAGCCTGACTTAATGCACAGGCCTTCTTGCTTTGAAGGTTTAGATTCAGTTTGGAACTAGACTGAAAGTGAATTGATGGTGGGTGTTAGTCCCTGGCATGTTCTCCTGTTCACACCACGAGGGATGAATCTGACCATTCAGGCTCTGTGGGTGAAGTGTAGAGTGGCTGGGGAAGTGAAATCCATCCTCCAACCCAGCATCAGAATGCAAGGCTGCTGCTCAAACTCCCCATTTCTCCCCCCAGCCTTTTACAGTTGCTATCCCAGTTTATAGACTGGAATAATAGCTGCAGTCTGTCCCTGCCAATTGCACAAAGCACTGAGGCTACACAAGGAATTTCTGTGCTGGGATTCTCTGGCCAGTTTATATAGCATAAAGTGGCCTTAGCAGACTGAAAAATCTGAACCATTGACTTTTTTTCCTCTTAGGGGGGTGTGTTCAAACAGAAACTGTTCTGTGTCAAGCAGTTGCTGAGCGCATCAAGCCAGTACTGATGATGAACAAGATGGATCGTGCTCTGTTGGAGTTACAGCTAGAACCAGAGGAACTTTATCAGACCTTCCAGCGTATTGTGGAAAGTGTCAATGTCCACCTATGGAGAAGGTGAAACTGGACCGATGGGTAATATTATGGTAAAGAAAACTCAAGTTTTTGCTTTAAATGGTACCAAGAATAAATATATCCAGAAGCTTCTGTGGTAGTTCACACTTCCTTACCAGGATCCTGTCGCAAACATGTTTGTAGATTTTGTATAGGAGAATGAATTAAAATATTTCTACAGTGGAAGCTGGCAGTTTCCTGAACTCAAGATCCTCTGGCCTACCACCTGAAGATACTTCTGGTCAGCCCCCTGCTACCTGTATTGTTTCATCCTCATGCAGAACAGGAAATATATGAGAGAGGGCAACCAGTTGAGAAAGGAAGCAACTAGAAATCAGGAGCTGAAGGGGGAGAAAAGGTAGCAGTAGGGCGTCAGAGAGCTAGTGGGGAATAGATGGAGCAACAGGAGGGAAGACAGCTTGAAGAAGAGGAGAGAAATGTAGATACTCCTAAATGCATGTTTTGACATTAAAATATTGTGAATTTTAAAGCATTTCAGGGTCAGCATTTCTTCTGCCTTTGAGAGAAGAATAAGGTGTAGACATAGGCATAGCCTTGGGGTTCACACCAAGGACCAGGAGTTAGGAGATTTGGATTCTTTTGTTGATTTTGCTATTTAACTCATTTATGACGCTGTGCAAGTCACTTCCTTTGCTGTGCTTCTGTTTCCCCATATGAGGATAACAATATTTCACTACCTCACAGTGATCCTGTGAGGCTCCTTCAACAATTGTACGTGAAGCCCTTCAAAATCATCAGATGGCAGCTGGTAGTAGAAGTTTATAACATTTTTGTGGCACACAAACTGGATTTGCTGTCCTCTGATCGACCTAATTAGGCTATTGGGAGCTAAAATCATTGACACTGTAATAATAGGTTATACATAGCCTTGAATGAAAGCTGTTCTATCTGGTGCTTGACATAGATGTATGAGTATTATTCCCATTTTGCACTTAGGAACAGCAAGTCATGGAGAAATGATGCGACTTGCCCAAGGTTACAGTCAGTATGGAAGAGTTTAAAATATAATCCTGACTATTAGTCCTGTGTTCTAATCACTAGATCATGCTGTAGTAAGTATTGTGTAATCAGTTTCATACATTAGCTCTGAGACAAGCTAGTTCTTTATAGCCACACATTTCAGACCTGGATTCCTAAAGTTTAGCTTCTAAATCCATATTTAATTTTAGAAGCCGCCAACTTTGAAAATTGTTACCTCAAAGAACTAACTTGTCTTGCAGCTAACTGATAAAACTGACAATACCCATGTCACATTTTGGGGTTCAGACCAATGAGAATAGGATCTTCTTCTGCCCTGTAACTGTAGGTGCCTTAAATGCTCTGCTGCTATGGTTCACAGCTTGCACACCAACAGCCAGCAAATATGCAGTTCCCTGAATATCTGTGTGCTCTGCAGCCCTTGTACAGTACTCTGCTCCCACCAGTCCGCCTACAATACAACAGCTGCACCGTGGTCTCCACCAGCCTGGGTTACTACTTGCAGGGTGACCCCAACACACCCCCAGGCCCTAATTTCCCCAAAAGTGTGTGCCCTGAAATGTCCAGCTCCCTCCTGGAATACTTGGAGGCATAATAAGGTTCATTGCTCCTTTAAAGAGTCAAAAGCATAGCAGCTTGTTGCTGTAACTGGAGTTAATAATCACATCAAGTCAAATACAGTAAGGGGTTGATTTAGATTTTAGACTAAAAGGTCAAACAAGTTTATTTAATCAAAATGGAGGTGTTGAATTCAAATATAAGGGATAAAATCAAAATGGTTACAAGCAAAGAAAAGTAAAACATGCTTTCTAGTGGCTAAGAGTTAAATCAACAAGCTATAGCCTTAGTTCCAGGTAGATTTCTTACTTTTTTTTTTCTTTCCAGCCACGGCTGACTTTCAGTCAAGACCTTCCACAGAAGTACAAGGTGCTAGTTCCCCTTGTCTTTCTCAGTAAAGGGTCTTTGCCTAAGTAGCTTTCTCACCTATATTCAGTTCCCAGAATCTTCAACCCCTTGGTTGAAGGACCCATCTTTCTGAGATTGAAAGAGCTCTGTCCCTTTGTATCTGTGCAGTGATGGAAGCCCAAGATGGCATCTTCTTCTCCCCTTATAGCTTCCCCAACTCACTGTTTTGTCTCCAGACTCAGGATAACCTCATATTGTTCTTCCCTAACTGTGGAGTTCCCATCCCCCCGCTTATTTGTACGTAAATGAGGCTTTCATTATATTTGGTCACACCTTGCTTAATTTCAGCAGTGACAGGTAGATAGCTGCCTTCCCACCTGTCTGGGAGAAAACCTGTTTTTGTCAAAACTTTAAACCATAATGAGTATTCATAACTCCTCCATGCAGTGTTAATACTTACATTTCACAATTATATGAAAGTTAATGACACCTTGGTGATTAATAAGAGACCTTCCTTGAGACACTTATTATAATACAGCAATATTGTACAGACGTTCCCCGGGTTACGCTAACCAGACTTACGCAAATCCGCATTTATGGAAAAAGTTCCGTAAGCTAGAAATAGGAGGGTTGTTGGGGTTTTTTTGCGTAATGGTCAGAGATACGTTTCTGACTTACGAAATATTCGAGTTACGCAACGTCATATAGTCAGTTGATTAAATTACTTATCATTTGAGATTTAGACTTCCTGTCTCTATAGTCCAGTAAATCATTGAAATGTATTCTCAGATAAAGATCCTTTTCTCCTTCTAGGAGGGGACGCCATGTTGTCTGGTGAAGACTTCATGCTGATTCCTCCCCAACTGGTGATAATTGAGTCATTACCTCCTCCCCTTGTTAGCTTGATGGTTTTGTTTACCTTTTGAATAAATGCACCTTCATTGGCTCTGTCTGATGGCCAGGCTGGTCAGACAAACAAATACACTGTTCCATTAGGGCAGACTGGGCTTATGCACTGCTTGCCAAGCACATAACTCTAGCATATATTCATAACTTTCTATGCACCCGGTACCTATATCATGCAAGAATGTCAATGATCAGTGAGTTATTAGTTTTGCACTGATATCTTACACAACATCATAATCTGTATCTAAAAGGTAACAGTGTGTTAGGTGTAGTAAGTATGTCAGGCCTGACAAGAGCTGCTGCAAAGAGTACTGAACCACCAAATGGCCTCTGTCGCAACCTACTACATCATGGTCTGGAGGTTAGAACGAGGGCTTATTAGCTAGGATTGTATCCTAGGCTCTTCCACATTGGGGTTCAGTGGAGCTGCAGATACCCAGCCACTAAAAATCAGACCACTTTGCCTAAGTTTAGGCACCCAGGTTTCAACTTCCAGAGGTAATTCAATATCAAATATTCACAGAAATTCATGGAAATATTTGGAAGGCTTTAATCAAACTTTTTGCTGTAGATATCTTTGTAAAATATAATCAAAACTCTTTGGGTGTAATTGGATTAGCAAAATGGGACAAAATAGAACTCTTGCTTCAAAGTAAGATCCAACAAGACCAGTCTTGTCAAGATTGCAGAATATTTTGGGAGCCTCAGTCACATGCTACATCCCACTGAAAGCAAAGTGTCTTGTCCCAGGCATTAACTATCATTCTGTTTTTAGATTGATCCCCTTATTGGTACTGTTGGGTTTCGCTCTGGTTTACATGGCTGGGCATTTACTTTGAAGCAGTTTGCTGAGATGTATGTGGCCAAATTTGATGCCAAAGGTGAAAAAGCACAACTCCCTCCAGCCGAACATTCAAAGAAAGTAGAATACATGATGAAAAAGCTTTGGGGAGAAAAGTGAGTGATGAAAGACACATGTATACATAGGCACGTGCTTAGATACCACAGCGATAGGCTGTTCAGGAATAGCTTAATAAAGTGTATATATTTAGCACAGTGGCTTAGTCCCCCCCGCCACCCCTTTAGGGCCCTTTAAGAACTCATAGTTAGGACCCTATCAAATTCGCGGTCATGAAAAATGTGTCACGAACCATGAAATCTGATCTTTTGGGTACTTTTACCCTATACTGTAAAAGTATACAAAAGTATACAGCATTTCTCAAACTGGGGCTCCTGACCAAAAGGGGGTCACAAGCCTATTGTCAGGGGGTTGCAGCATTGCCACCCTTACATCTGCACTGCCTTCAGAGCTGGGTGGCCGGAGAGCAGCAGCTGCTGGCTGGGTGTCCAACTCTGAAGGCAGCACTGCCACCAGCAGCAGCCCAGAAGCAAGGGTAGCATGGTATGAATGCATCCCTGAAATTTGCTATTTATGCCATGACCAACTTGCAAAAATGTGTGATTACTCCACAATTTAAGTGGACCCCTACTTACAGTTCAGAGCAGTTCAACCAGTCCCACAAGGGGTCCCATTTATTTACTCCACAGAGTACTCACTGGCCCTCCAGGCCCCAACCCCAGTTCAGTCTCTCTCTCAGTAGTCCAAAATACCGCAGTGTATTTGAAAACAGAACACAGACTCTCACCGTGTTGACCCCAGTTTCAGCTAGGCACAGCCCCATCCTTCCTGAGGATTCTGTCTGCTTCCCATTACCTCTTGCCTGGAGTCTGTCCTTCTCCACAGGTCATTCTAGGTAGGCCTTTGCTATCTGTCCCCTGCTTCTTGGGCAGGATCTCTCCTTGCCTTGAAAGCTTTCTCCTGAACTTCCTTGGCTTAGTATCAGGCTTCCTGCCTCTAGCAGTCTCAGTTGCTCTCTCATCCACCATCCCCAGCAGTTGCCTGCTGCACTTTATATAGAAGTCCCTTGATTTCTCTTAGGTGGGGCTCATCTTGTAATCAGGGCTGGCTTAGCCCCAGGCTCTCCTGCCCCTGGGCAAGGCACCCTGTTCCAGTATACATATTTAATCCAGACAGTTTGTGGAGAAGTAGCTTATGCCTTTACAAAAAAAAATGTTAATGAGCAGCCTGAAGAACTAGACATAGTTAACATGTATGGCATGCAGGAGTTCCTGGCACTCAATTCTTTGCTCAAGCCACTAGACCAATTTCGGTGATTGAAAACACAAATCTAATCCCAGTGCATGGGTATCTCTTACAAAACAAAAACACTTGCTTCCTGTACTTCTTTTATCCAAAGCAAGTAACTCTTCTCCCTATGAATGTAACAGCTCTAAAATGTTCCAAGTAGGAATCTCTCCTTTTCCTACTATTTTAGTGCTCTGTACATAATTCAAGGTGTTCCACACTGAAGCACAGTCTTGTTCTCACAAAGTGATTGATCAGTAGAAATCTTGAAAAGTTTTCAAACCATGGATGATTATCATCTCTTCGAATACTTTTCCTCTAAAGTTCAAACCGGATGAGTAAAGCACCTTAAATCAGTGGCAGATTAACGCACAAGGGCCCTGGCCTATCTGGGGCCCCCCAGAGGGGCACTGGAACCTGTTGTAGTAGGAAGAGAGCCTGAGACATAAGCCCTTGTATTAGAGGCCTGGTATGAGGCAAGACCTGCTTACAAAGTTTGGCAAGAACAGGGCTAATAATGCAGAAGTACACATTCCTAAGAAATGCTAAGCATAGAGTACTTATGCAAACATATTCCGATATTAGGTGGTACCGGAACATCCCAATATTAAGGATGGTATAAAAACATTCCCCAAAGATAACAGGAACACACTGGCCCCTTCTTAAGGATAAGGCTAGGATGACTGTATGTAATAGAGATGTTTTAATTGAACCAACATGTACAAGGTGATGGGTAATAAATAGCCATGTCAGGAGGCAGTAACTAACTATGTCAGAGGCAGTACTAACTTGTTTGTATCAGGGTATAAAGATGTATCTCAGAGGGAGTACTTTTGTCCAGCCGAGGGGGGAATGGAAAGTCCCACCATTTGCTGAGCTGTGTCCATTGTCACAGGCATGTCTTAGTATTCTTGTCAAGTTTGCCAGGTGCTATTACCATGCTTTGTTGACAGTAAACCTGGCCTGGTGCCTTCGTACCTTAACGGATCTTGTGGTCATTGGGCTGTTTGCTCAAGGTCTGCTCTGCCGGATGTCTGCGCAGAGCTGGGGCAGTACACAGGGAGAACACACACATGCAGCCGAACATCTAACCACACCTGTGTAAAAGTGGGGGTGGGGCCACTGGTGCCAGAATGGTAGCTCTACCCCTGCTCCTTTTCTTCCCCCCTGGGGCTCCACCCATTGGCCCAGCTGGAAGTTGGAGCTGGGTTGTGGTAAGAGCCACCAAGGGAGCTCGGGCCGCTGTGGGAGCCCCAGACCTTCCACCTACCTGGGCAGGGGCTGGGGTGCTTGAAAGCAGCCCCCAGCCCGTGTCCTCACTCCCCGGGGCGCGTTGCCCAAGGCTACTACAGCCATGTTAAAAAGTCGGCAGGCCATGGCCACCCTGGCCCACCTAGTTCTGGTGCCCTTAGGCCCCCGGAGTGTGGGAGGCCCAAATGTTCTTTGTGCCCAAGGCCCAAATAAATCTTAATTCACCTCTTCCTTCAACTTTTTATTTAGATATTTTGATCCAGCAACCGGAAAATTCAGCAAATCAGCCACCAGCCCAGATGGAAAGAAATTGCCACGGACGTTCTGCCAGCTCATTCTGGATCCCATCTTTAAGGTAAAACAAAAAGTTAATCTGTAGCTGCCCCAACTGGCATTTTCATTCGGTGGTATAAGTGTAGGATTCAGCCTAGAAAAAGATAGAGGCTCACTCACCAAACCTGGACTCCATAAGCTGGTTATTTGTACAGCACACACCATGTGCAGTCCCTGCCTTCCAGAATTTATGATCTAGGTAAACTACATACAACAGCATGAAGGAGAAAGAAGGCAACACAAAGTCTGAAAGAGGAATGGAATGTGGCACAGGTCTTGTTGTTCTCCATTTAAAAAAAAATTGTTAGTGCAGTGAATTTGTTTTAATATATAAAAGAAATTATTTTGGTGTTATCCAAATCAAAGGTTTAGGAATTATCTTTCATTGGGAGGTTTAGAAAATACATTTGGTGTGACTGTCATCTTTCAGATCTTTGCTGGAAATCATGAATTTTGTTTTTTATACAGAACAAAGAATTATTAAATAAAAACCTAAATTTGGAGACTGTGAGGGCATTTTCAACCTGCATGTTACAGATCCACTATTTACAGCAATATGTTGGAACAGATTTAAGATGTATAATGGTAAATCTTTTACCACACTTTCCTCTGTAGATCTTTGATGCTATTATGAACTTTAACAAGGAAGAGACAGCCAAGCTGATAGAGAAACTTAACATCAAGCTGGATGCTGAAGATGGAGACAAAGAAGGCAAACCACTTCTGAAGGTATTTTAAAAAGATTTAATGCAATAATTCAGTTTGACTTTTTTCCTTTAACCCAATAGTCAGGATTAATGGAGTTGCAACATTTGCTGCTGGTCCCCTTCTATTTTTGCTACACAGCACAGCCCTCCAGAATACTTTATGGGTCTTAGAAGGACCTACCTTACTTGTCAGTTGCAAATCTCAAATTTATCAACTAATCATAGGGGGCAAACAAAGACAACCTTGTGTATCTAGAGTGCCACAATTCACAATAAATTATCTAGAAGTGTGAGCCCTTGAGATATGTGAACAGGATTTGAGTCTGATACTGTACAACCAAACAAAGGCATATTGGTTAAGAGGGAGAGAATGTAGATTGCACATTCAGGTAAATAAATAACTGAAGAAAACTGCTACTGCAACATATATATATTTTGCATCAGTTGCCTTGAGAACTATAACTTTTTCAAAGTTGCCTCTGCACATTCCCACATATGGGATGTGCTAACTTGTCCATTGAGCTTTGAGAAATGTCTAGAAAAGCAGTGACTATTGGGACCTCACAGGTACCGTTCTGCAGCACTTAGTGTTCAGAGCAGAGGCTGTAAGAAGCTTTATCTCAGTTCTTCTGCTAAACCCCAGAATCCTTAAGGGTATAAGACTCCATGGAAGAGGGAAAGGCAGGCGGGTAGTGTGGCTGTGCAGAGCCAGCCGTCACAAAGAGCTGCAATTACTATTACTGTAGAGCACAGAATTAATAACTCCTAGAAATGTCATGAATAATGGTGTAATTGGGTCTCCTTTCTACAATTTTCCACAACTGATTAGTTAAATTTGATGGCAAAACTACACATAGAAAAGTTATAGTTATGCTCATGGTTTGTCAATAAACATTAAAACTGCTGCTTCCATTCATAGCTTCAGAGTTTAATGTGGCCCGAAGCATAGTTTCCTCCTGAAATGTAGTGCACCAGCTTGAAAAAAGTGAGTTTTCAGAATGCTCCATTTGAATAATTCAAATGTTAATTATTTTCATTAAAAAAGAAAAAAAACAGGCAATGAGTGGAATAACTGCTTAATTAGATTAAAGTCTTTTGAACTTTTAAATGGTCCCAGGAGAGCTTTGATTAGTTGTCCTGGTTTTTGCCCCAACTCTGTTTTTGGCTAGTGTCTAGAAGGGCATTAGTTATTTCTGGGGTCAGTTGTTATGTTTATCACCTCAAATAAAGTTTCAGTGAGGATGCAGCATTTGTGTTTCTCAGGCTGATGCGCCACTGGCTGCCTGCTGGAGATGCCTTGCTTCAGATGATCACCATGCACCTGCCTTCCCCTGTAACGGCACAGAAATATCGTTGTGAACTTCTGTATGAGGGGCCACCTGACGATGAAGCTGCTATGGGTAAGGAGGGAGCTCTTTGACTTTGCAACTCTAACTACACAATGCCCATAGCAAAGATAAAAATACGTTGTTATACACATCAGATGGAATAAAACTGACTAGCTGACAAGCCACATAAATCTGGCTCAGAGTTGGTTATTACATTGTGCTGGCCTTTTCTTTATTTAATTTGTTCCATTACTCTGTTTGTATGGTGCCTAACACAGTGGGGCTCCAAACTGGTTGAGGTCTCGAAGTGCTACCACAATACAATTGTTCAGTAATAATAATTCAGTGTTTTCATGCTGCTGCACAATCCACTTTACCTCCTTATGTGCTGGATGGTCTTGTGTGTGAAACTGTACTCTTTAATTCAGTCCCTGAGAATACATGGGTGGGATGAGTTTGGAGGATGATGGAATCCTGCTGTCCCACTCGAGACATGACGTGTTAGGGGGCTGTGCAAGTACACTGCTCACAGCACCCACTCGGACTCTTCCAGTCAGTTACCCAGGCTGGATTAGTTCAGAGCACATACCCACTTTTTGGAGTTTTGATTTATTAAATCACTTCTTTAGTTGCTGGAATTCATGCACACTCTGGCTCCATATAAGAGTCTTGATAGGTTTTCTTGCCTCTATTCAGGAGGCGCTCTTTCCTGGAGTTGGGTTTGTACTTCAGATGGTTTCTCCCAAGCAGGAATTCCCCAGTGCCCCTCTTGGAGCTGTGGTTATAGCTTAGGCCAGCTGTACGGCCTTACCCAGCTGCTCCTTTTCCCCAATTAGTCCTCAGGTTCAGCAGGCAGGCCTTCTGCTGTGAATGAGGCAGTATATATGCTGATCCTCTTCCTAAGGATCATTCCAGTTGGCTGGGAGAGAGGAGAGCCTTGTCCCACCCACTCTGCAAGGCTCCTGGTCCCTTAAAGAAATGGTAATGGCATGTCCTCCCAACACTAATTCCCAGAACCATTTTCTCTCTACCAATATCTCCTAGGGTCCTTGTATATATCAGACCTCCCAAAATCTTAAAAGGCCACAACATGTGATGGGGATGGGTTGATCTGTAGGCCTCAGCATGCCTAATGGGGCAGACTACCCCCTCACAGTGGGATCATGCTGAAATGTCTTGGTTATTTGTATCAGACCAAACCTGGAGAATCATGATGGGCACCTGCTCCTCCACTTCCAAACTCCTTATGTGGAGTCCCATATTAAACTATCATCACCTGCATCTTGTTCAACATCTGCATGAAGCCACTAAGGGAAACTGTGCCTTACCATTAACTCAGAGGCAAATGGTGCCATCTACCAGCTATCCAAAGGCTTAGCTGAGATCAGCAATTGGATAAAGAGCATATGGCTGAGGCTGAACCTGGGAAAGACTGAAATGATGCTGGTAGGGAGAAGGAAGTACTGTCCAGAACTCATCGTCTCTATAATATTGCCCTTCATTGATAGTTTCTTCCCTTAGGTCATGAAGACAGTCTGCAGCTTCAGTGTCCACCTGATATTTCACTGCTTTTAGAAACCCAAATAAATATGGATCCAAAAACCATCTAGATTTGGCAAGAAGATAGCGCAGCCTCCTGTCAGATCTGGACTTAGCCACAGTGAACAGGCATTCATGACCTCCAGACTTGATTTCTGAAACTCTCTGTACCTACGTCTGAAACAGGTGACCACTTAAAAAAAAAAATCAGTTGGTCACTAATGTCAAGCAGTCTCCTCTGTACAGTCCACTGGCAACATGTCACTTCTGTGCACAGTATGCTGCTTTGGTTCCTGGTGAGTCAAAATCAAAGTTTTTGCCCTCCTCTTCAAGATCTACGTCCAAGTAGGCCAAGTTACATGAGGGACCACCTCACTCTGTGATCTTGGCTTTCCATAACACGTGCGTTCTACTGGAGCAATGGAACTTGCAACCAGAAAAGTAAAACTTGTGCTTGCAGGAGACAGAGATTTACTGATGACTGGCCGAATTGTGGAACTCACACCTGGAAGACATAACGTTGACCACAAACCACTGTGTCCAAAGAGCAGAAACCAAAACCCACTCCTTTGAGCTAGTCTACCACATTATACACCTGCCACACACAAACACAGACCTGTGACCTCTGGACTGGAAAGTAGAAGAGCTGTTAATTATAACTTTAGGCATATTTTGGGAGGTTTCAGAGTAGCAGCCGTGTTAGTCTGTATTCGCAAAATGAAAAGGAGTACTTGTGCACCTTAGAGACTAACAAATTTATTTGAGCGTAAGCTTTCGTGAGCTACAGCTCACTTCATCGAATGCATGGGAGGCATTCACAATAATGGGTACCATATGAAAAACAAGGCTTATAAAGTGGAAGGGGAAGGAAATGCTCAGTAAAGCGTTAGGCCTAGTTTTAAACAGCTTTTGAAGACTCATTGAAATGCATTGTTTTACTGTAGGTGTCAAAAACTGTGATCCCAAGGGCCCTCTGATGATGTATATCTCCAAAATGGTCCCCACATCTGATAAGGGACGTTTCTATGCCTTTGGAAGAGTCTTCTCTGGTATTGTTTCCACTGGACAAAAAGTTCGAATCATGGGACCAAACTACACACCTGGCAAAAAGGAAGATCTCTTCCTAAAATCTGTTCAAAGGTAGATGGAAATAGTTTGCTTCTGTTGAAGAATGCATGCAAAAAAAAAAAAAGTCAAGATGCTTGCAAAGCCTATTTTTGGGAACCTAATAAAAGGAGCATTGTTTACTTTTGTCAATGAAAATACCAGATTTGTATGATTTTTTTTTTTTGGCTTACGTAACAAAATGAGTACCAGAGGGAATGCAGGCAAATAAAAGGCAGTTACAGAAACTTCCTAAGATAAAAAAAGGCATAGTTTCAACAGATATATAAGGATTGTTACCCAACCTCTGTCTTTATAGAACCATTTTGATGATGGGTCGTTATGTTGAGCCCATTGAGAAGGTACCTTGTGGCAACATTGTTGGTCTAGTTGGTGTTGACCAGTTTTTGGTGAAGACGGGTACAATTACCACCTTTGAGCATGCACACAACATGCGAGTGATGAAATTTAGTGTTAGTCCTGTTGTACGTGTTGCTGTTGAAGCAAAAAACCCTGCTGATCTACCAAAACTAGTTGAAGGTCTAAAGCGTCTGGCCAAGTCTGATCCCATGGTTCAGGTGAGTGTTAGTTTTAGAGTTGCTGGTTTTCAGTGAAGTACTCCTGAGAGACTAGACTTTACTCAAAAAGATACTTATTCACGATAGCTTTCATAATCTGACATTTAGAATCTTCAGCCATACCACTTACATTGTAATCATATGAGACTGAACAAGTTAAGCAGGGATGGGCCTAGTCAGAAATTGGATAGGAAGTCTCTAAGGAAAACCCAGGTTTTGCAATGAGTAGTATTGGTTATTCATTAGGCAGCACTCTTCCCTCTGATTTAGCATTGAAACAATGTCCCAGCATGATGTTGGCATTTGCTTTTCAGATGAGATTGTAAAACCAAGATCCTGACTACTTGTCATTACAGATTTTCCAAGTGTGGGGATGTTATTAGTCTTAGGGTATGTCTACACTACGAAATTAGGTCGATTTTATAGAAGTCGATTTTTAGAATTCGATTTTATACAGTCAATTGCATATGTCCACACTAAGCGCGTTAAGTCGGCGGAGTGCGTCCTCACTACCGTGGCTAGCATTGACGTACGGAGTGGTGCACTGTGGGTAGCTATCCCACAGTTCTCGCAGTCTCCGCCGCCCATTGGAATTCTGGGTTAAGCTCCCAATGTCTGATGGGGCAAAAACATTGTCGTGGGTGGTTTTGGGTACATGTCGTCAGTCGCCCCTCCCTCCATGAAAGCAACAGCAGACAATCGTTTCGCTCCTTTTTTTCTGGGTTACCCGTGCAGACGCCATACCATGGCAAGCATGGAGCCTGCTCAGCTTACCGTCACCACTTCTGTTGTGGGCAAGTCTACTGTGGGGGCTGCTGTGATCCAAGTAGCCAATGCAATCATTGATGTTCTATTATCAAGGGTAGTGACTCTGGGAAATGTGCGGGCCTTTTTAGATTTTAGGTGCATCATATTCCTGTCCTTTGTTGCTGGTGAAGAAGTCTTACAGCCGTACATTCCAGTCCGGTCGACGTTGTAACACCCCATAACACTTCTGTGGTTGACACATATAACAGCTCCAGGGCTCTTGCTCTTTTGCCTTGGCCGAGGTACCTTGCCCTACCAGAACCTCCAAGCATTTGACACAGAAGCACCTTCAGCAGCTGGGATTGCTACACAGCAGCAGCTCCTGGGTGCCTTCGCAGCAGATGGTGCAGTAGGACTGCTAGCTGTCCTCATCCATGGTGTATGGCTCCACTTCTTCCGCTGCAACTCTGCTCTTCTGCAACTCCGCAGCAGACGGTGTAGTAGGACTGGTAGTCATCCTCGGACATGTAGCTTGGCCGAGGGTTCTGGGAACGTCTTCCCTGCCCGGTTCCTAGCAACTTCCAGGGCATGGTGTACGGCTCCACCGCTTCCGCTGCAACTCTCCTCTTCTGTTCTCCTGCAAGCTTCTGCCCCAGGCTGCTCTCCCAGTTAGCAGCACCACATGGTTGCATATACCCCAGCCTACCCCTTGCTCCCATGGCTCATTAAGCCTGGACAGTAGTAAGGAGCAGTTCAACTATAGGCTGAGCAAGTGCAGAATGATGGTAGAATGTGCCTTTGGATGTTTAAAAGCTTGCTGGCGTTGTTGGTCAGACTTCAGCGCAACCAACAGTCCCATTGTTATTGCTGCTTGCTGTGTGCTCCATACTATCTGTGAGAGTAAGGGGGGGGGGACGTTTATGGCGGGGTGGGAGGTTGAAGCAAACCGCCTGGCGTCCGATTTTGAGCAGCCAGACACCGATTAGAAGAGCACAGGTAGGCGCGCTGCGCATCAGAGAGGCTTTGAAAACCAGTTTCATGACTGGCCAGGCTTTGCTGTGACAGTTGTGTGTGTTTCTCCTTGATGCAAACTCGCCCCCTTTGTTGATTTTAATTCCCTGTAAGCCAACCACCCTCCCCCCTTCAAAATAAAGTAACTATTGTTTTGAAACCATGCATTCTTATTAATTTTTTAAAAATGAGATAACGGACAAGGTAGCCCAGGTGGGTGGAGGAGGAGGGAAGGACAAGGCCACATTGCTTATTGTAGCCATACTAAAAATCGAACTGTTTGAATGACAGTCTTCTGTTGCTTGGGCCATCCTCTGGAGTGGAGTGGCTGGGTGCCCGTAGCCTCCCACTCCACGTTCTTGGGTGTCGGGGTGAGGAGGCTATGGAACATGGGGAGGAGGGTAGGCAGTTATACAGTGGATGCAGTGAGGATCTGTGCTCTTTTTGGCTTTCTTGCTTCATCATGTCTGTTTGCTCCCCCATTAGCCTCAGCATCGCGTCCTGCCTCCGCTCTTCGTGCTCACTTAATTCTTTCCTGGCCTCGGCCACTGAATGCCTCCATGCATTAAGCTACGCCCTATCAGTGCGGGAGGACTGCATGAGCTCGGAAAACATGTCATCCTGAGTGCAGGTTTTTTGCCTCCTAATCTGTGATAACCTCAGGGATGGAGATGATAGGAGGAGCGTAGAAACATTCTATGCTCTACAATTCTGGGGGGACTGCATGGTCACCTGTGCTGCTGACTTCGCCACGCTGAACAAACAGGAAATGAAATTCAAAAGGTCCCGGGGCTTTTCCTGTGTGTCTGGCTACTGCATCGGAGTTCAAAGTGCTGTCCAGAGCGGTCACAATGGAGCACTCTGGGATAACTCCCAGAGGCCAATACCGTTGATTTGCATCCACACTACCCCAAACTTGACCCAGCAAGGTCGATTTTAGCACTACTCCCCTCATCGGGGAGGAGTACAAAAGTCGATTTTAAGAACCCTTTAGGTCGACGGAACGGGGTTCGTTGTGTGGACGCAGTCATTCTTAAATCGACCTAATGCAGCTAAATTTGACCTAACCCTGTAGTGTAGACTAGGGCTTAGTGTCTGGCTAAATCAGCGTGGGCAGTTTCTGCCTGTCTGAATTCCATATACAGTTCCAATGTTATGGAGCGCTCTTCACTTCCTATTGTAAGCTATTATGTAGTTTTGCTGTATGATGTTAGACCACCTGCAACATTTCACTGGTGAGTCAGGTGATTCATTGTTAAGTCATTGGGATGAAAGGCACTTCATAAATGTAATGATATTTGGTTAATCTCCACAATAACAGCTATTACTAAGCAATTTTGGAAAAAAATAAGTCACAGAATAATCTAATAGAAAATGCCTGTGGAATGTTCTGATTTAAATTAATTTAAGAAAATATTTTTTTACTCTTACACAACTAGTATTTCATGTTCTAGTGTATTATTGAAGAGTCGGGTGAGCATATCATTGCTGGAGCTGATGAGTTGCATCTAGAAATTTGCCTTAAAGATCTGGAAGAAGATCATGCTTGCATTCCAATCAAGGTATAAAAGGCTTCTTTTGTGTCTATATCTGCAATGCACAGAAGATGATTACACATTAAGGATGGGATTTTCAAAGGGTATTTGATGCAAATTGGGCATCCAACTTCCTTAGGCTTCTTTGAAAATACCATCCAAATATCAGACATCTTCATTTGCACTAAAACTTATTTGGCCATGGAAAAATATTTCTGTTACTAGGATTCCTTCTCACAGGATATTTCCATATTTATAAGTCCTGAGGTTTTTTCCACAGAAAATCTTGGAATCAGAAGATAATGATTCTGCTTGTCAATACAGCACAGTTCTTCAGCTGCATTTTATTGTCTCAGTGAAATTAGCAGTCTGTGGTCTGTGTCAGGGAACACTTGTACTAGTGAATGAAACTGACTTTAAAGTCTACCTTGAACAAAATAACTCCTGGGGGAGTTCTGCGCCAAAAAATTAAAAATTCTGTGCACAATATTTTAAAATTCTGCAAAATTCTGCATATTTTATTTGTCAAAATAACACAATATAATCACACCAGTTTCAATTATTTTGATAATTTATTTCAAAATACTTGTTAGCAAGTATGTCTGTAACAATACAGACAAAAAAAAAGTTTCAGGAAATTTTTTTTTTGACAAAGATTCCTTACTAGGCATATTAATACAGAACTTTGGGTAATTCATTTAAACTACAATACAGAAAAGTATTTCCTGCACCTCTCAGAAGCAGTGCAAAGGCATGGGGAAGCCAGGGGTAATAGAGGAGCTGAGGCAGAGGGAAGGAGCCTGGGAGTGAATCCTGGAGGACTGTTGGGTGTGGGTGGGAAAAGTATGGAACAGTTTCTTTTTGGGGAGAAGGAGATTGTTAGAGAGTTGGGAAGCCTCCCCCATGCAGACACCAGCTGACCTCGAGCCTCTCCCATTCAGTCAGGCACATCTGTCCCTATCGCCAGGTAGTCCTGGAGTCCACCTCCCATTCAGCCCCTGGCTCAATGCTGTCACCCCACTTGCTCCTGAGCCTGCACCCCAGTCTGTCCACCCCACTAGCCCTTCTGAACCTCAGTCTGTGACACACACCCCAACAGCCCCATGTGCCCCACTCTGCCTCTGAACCTGGTTCCACAGGCAGATGAACGCCGTTTCTGCAGGTCAGCCAGGTGTTCTGGCAGCACAGCAGCCTCTGGTGGTCGAAAGGCAGAACTGCAGGACTTCTTGGGTAGAATGTATTTTAGGGGGCGTGGGGGGAATTTGCACCGGACATGATTACTCTGTGTGTGTGTGTGTGTGCGCGCGCAGTGGCATAGAATTCCCCCCAGGAGTACAAAATAAAACCTGCTACCTAAGGCAAAGAAATGATTTAGAACTTTGTTATAAAAAGGGTAAATAATACAAATGTGGGAATGACAAGACGTAGTAGGTTCCTTTTGTAATTTTAGTGTAAAATGTTGGATGTTCACTATTACAATCTTATTGGAATTTATTTGCTACCTCGCAGAAATCAGACCCAGTTGTATCTTATCGTGAAACAGTCAGTGAAGAATCGAGCCAGATGTGCTTGTCCAAATCTGCCAATAAACACAACAGGCTGTATATGAAAGCTCGGCCCTTCCCCGATGGCTTGGCAGAGGACATAGACAAAGGAGAAGTCAGTTCCCGTCAAGAACTGAAGCAGCGTGCCCATTACCTGGCAGAGAAATATGAGTGGGATGTTTCTGAAGTTCGTAAGATCTGGTGCTTTGGACCTGATGGAACTGGTCCAAATATCTTGGTCGATATCACCAGGGGTGTCCAGTACCTAAATGAAATCAAAGACAGTGTTGTTGCTGGCTTCCAATGGGCAACAAAAGAAGTTAAGTATGAATAATAGTTTACATGCAGGATATTATTAGATATTAAAAATCTCTGACGTTATCCAAACGCCTTTTTAGCTACTGATGGAATATATATGTAACCTTTAGGAAAAGACAACTTATTTATTAGAACTGTTAGGAAATTACACAAAACTATGAACAGTTTCAGCAAAGAACAGAAAAAAAATTGAAACTCTATTTAGATGAATGATTTCTAGTGATTGTAAATGCATGGAATTCCTCCACCCAAATATTAAATAGTTTGCAGTCTGCGAGTGGTTGAACTTTGATTCCAAGTGCAGCTTTGTTGTGAAAACGCCTGTGTTCTTAAAACTTGCATTTCCATGTTGCAATGAATAGTTCTTCTATTCCTTCAGGATACCTGCTCAGTACCAAAAGAAGTGTTCATGACTCTTAACTTGAAGGTCAAGGTGTCAGTGTAAGCACACTGTCAAATATATTTCCACGTGAACTCCCATATCTGTAAAAACGTTCAAAGTAGTAAAAAGTGACAGTATCAAATCCACCATTTTCCTTTCAATTCTGTAAAAGGTCATTGACTCTCTTGCAGGGTGTGTTGTGTGGGGAGAACATGAGGGGCATTCGTTTTGATATCCATGATGTTACTCTGCATGCCAATGCGGTCCACCGTGGTGGTGCACAAATTCTTCTCACGGTCAGAAGTGTCCTGTATGCCTCTGCTCTTACAGCACAACCCAGACTTATGGAGCCCATCTATCTCGTGGAGATCCAGGTATGTAAGAGGGTGAGCTAGAGGAGACATGAAAGGAATGTAATTGTACAAGTACTGTTAAGAAAGTTGCACTTGCTATGGTTTTGGGGTTTTTTAGGAAGTTGGTCCTGTTTTCTGAGGATGGTAGAGTTGGAGCTGTGTGTGCCTGGAACAGGGTAGAGTTTGAGCAGTGAGAGCTACATGCATTGGGTTAAATCACACTGTTCTTCATGAACTGCCAGTGCCACTCAGTATAAGCAGCTCTATTTCTAAATATGTCTCTGTATACTTAAACAGCAGTTTTTCTAGAGTTTTGACCTACTCTGTGTCTACACTATGATCTTAAATCAACCTATATAGCCACCAGGAGCACTTCCACCAACTGAAGAGGGGCAGGCAGCAGCCCAAGCTGGGAGCCGGCTTTCTTATCAATTTCACAACTCCGACGTAAGGAACACAGTGTCTACATAGACACTAAACACTACACCTCTTGTGGAGATGGAGTTATGTCGGTATAGTAGGGCACATACATGGGTGGGAGCAAGGCTATAGCGTAGACACTGACATAGTTAGGTTGACATAAGCTGCCTTATGTCGACCTAACTCTGTAGTGTAGACCAAGCCTAACACTCACTTCTCTTGTTTTGTTTTGGGGAGAGGAAGAGTTCAAATTACTTTGTTTGGTAAATGCAAGACCTCAGGAAATTTCTATTTCTACAGCAAAACACATACTGGTTTGCCTTTTTTTAAAAAAAAAGAACCCTCAAGTTCAATGCCTGCCATAATTTAGAAATGTGTAGTGGTAAAAATCCCCTACCAGAAAACACTCTAACAGCAGAGTTGCTTGAATCACATCACTTTCCCACAGTCCCCCCAGCCAAGTGAGGGCATTGCAATGAACAATTGGATCTGCTTACTGTGGCTACTGCTGCAAAGCCGTTCTTTTTAGCACCTGGAGTAGTGCCTTGACTGTTTTAACATAGCGTTATCAGTGTGTGTCAAGCATTCTTTTAAATAATTCCATTTACATATTTACCTTAGTGTGCATTTAGTTTTAGACAAATGATGGGAGCCCTGCCTATCACTGATCTGCCCTTTCACTAAAAGACGTAGAGAATTATTATTCTGGGGCAAAAAGTGAGCACAAGTTCTTTACTGAACACACAACCTTTGGACAGCGCTGCACAAACATATGCTGCAGTGTGGTCTATTGCAGACACAAATGACACGCTGGGGATTGTACAACCCGAGACTGGTGCAGAGGTTGGTGAGGAAACGCCTTGGAGAAGGGAGGCAGGCACACATAGATGTGGTTCCAGGGTGGGAGAAGAATCCAAAGGGATTGTCTGGTGCTAAGTGCTAAGAACATAGTGCTGCTATGTTCAATGACCAAGCCACTGCTATTTGTATGTAACTTAGTAACATTTTTCTTCATAGTGCCCCGAACAAGTGGTTGGAGGTATCTATGGTGTGCTGAACAGGAAATGGGGCCATGTCTTTGACAAATTCCAAATGGCAGGAACCCCGATGTTTGTGGTCAAGGCTTATCTACCTGTAAATGAGTCTTTTGGTAAGGATGCCATATTGTCTTTAGACAACTCCTTGTACCTTCCTTAAGTATGTCTGGATGGTGGGGGAGGGCTTCCAACAACGTGGCTGGGAGTTAATGAAATGGGAATTCGTACATCTGACTTCGTTCCTGGTATTTTTTGCATCTTCAACTCATTGTGCTGACAGGCAGCCTTCTCCGCTGAGCTTTAATGTCTTCTTGGCACCCTGTGCGGACACATGCAACTTACTCGTCCCAGCTGAGAACATTCCAGGGTGACCAGGACCCTACTTCTGTCACTAAAGATATTTATTAAAAGCAGGATCTTATGCTCTAGCAAACTTGTGTAACACAGAGCTATACCAGCTTACCACAGCCGAGGAGGTAGCCTGATGTTTTAAACCAATAACCCAATCTACATAGCCTTACTGATTAACTTGATATTATATCCCTTTCCTTTCACTGCCCATAACTTGTCAATTTTCAGTGTGCTTTTTTTTTTTTAAATATATATAAACTGAAACTGCCCTTTCGCAGTGGGGATGTGTTTAGTAGTGAAGCTGGAGGCTTTGCCAGCTGTGGGGCAGGGGGACAAGATAACAGATGGGCTTTTGACATAGTGTGAGAAGCACATTAACTGGATAGTTCTGCTGAAATTATCAATATGAAATGAGTATTTAAAGGATCATCTTTAGATTTCAGAGTTAACATTGTAAGGAGACAATTAACACATCAGAACTATTGTTTGTGTCTCGAGATTCAGACAGACAGTACATGGGTTTCTTTGTTTCCTATTTGGAAGGTGCTATTTGCAATCAGAAGTTTGAACTTTTTCTAATGATAGGATACATTGTGGAGGTTGCACATTATTCTGCACCTTGAGCATCTTGTAGAAACCCAAATGCTGAAACAGTTGCTCCTAGATTTCCTTGGTATAGGTAAGGCTTGTCATTCTCAGCTGAGGAACTGAAGCTGTTCCAAAAACTGATATTTTCCGTACAGCTCATACTAAGTTGCATTCCCAGGAGTACTGATATCGCAGTTGGGAAGGAGCTAGTCACATGGCTGAATTGCTGCAGCTGGAAAAGAAAAAAGGAGGCAGTCGTTGTTTGGTGAAGAGGGAAAGGTGAAATAAGTCAGTCATCCTTCTTTAATAAGTATACTTACATCCAAAGTAGTTCTGATGCATGTGACTCACTCATCTAGGAGAAAGGGCAAGATCCACAAAGGTACTTAAGTCCATCATTTAGGTGTGTCTGCCATTCAGCTGCCAGCTGCGCTTCTGCTGATGGGCATGTATAAAAGCCAGCAGCAGTCCTGACACTGGACCACAGCTCTTGCTGAAACCCTGCAGTTTTTCAGGCTCGTGTTCTTCACCTGTCTCCCCCTAGGGCCTGATGGTATAGGCACTCTCAGAGCACACCTGTGGGGTTAGCCCCGATCCATGAGACAGGTGTGTATGTCCAGAATGCACAATAACCCAGGAGTCAGTGTACTCTCACCTGTGATGAGGGAGTAAGGTTCAAGTCCCCAGCAGGGATTGAACCTGACTTGCCCTCAGCCCAGGTGAGTACTCTGCATGTAATGGAGGGGTTCTCTTCTCCCCCATCCACCTCCTCTTCTTGGCATTTCACTCATGGCTAATTTAGGCAGCTCCCCATTCAGCTTGCTAGCTTCTGCGGTGCTTAGGTCTCCCCTGTGCATCGTACAATGAATATGGGTGCCTAAGTCGAGGCTGAGATTCCACCAGGAAGTTAACCATTGCAATACAGTTACTAGTTGTTCACTTGTAATTACAGTTAGGTGAAAAGTAAACAAGAGGTTAAGGAGCTCAGTTAGAAACCTGGAAAAAAACAAAATGGTAAACTTCAGGGTGGTCAGTTTCCCAGAGGTTGTAATTGGGACAGCACATGTACAGCACTGTACCACACAAGACTTCCTAGCTGTTGGAAAGGAAGGGTCGAGCTAGGACTGCTCCACCCTATCCCCTAACCTTTTTTCTGATTTCATGGCTGTTGCTTTCCACTAAGAAACCAGCACAGAGCAACCGATTGCAGCAGGAGCACAAGCGGTAGGTGTGAAGGAAGGATTAGAGGTGCCAGACTCCTGTGTGAAGTAACCAGGTGCCTTGTGTGATTGTCGCTGATGTTCTAAGAATTAAACAGTGGACAATGAGGGGGTTACAATACAACACTGGCTATTGTAATGGTTTAACATGCTTTCTAATCATGCTCTTGCCCAAGTTGAGCTTAGCTTCTCCGTGTTTACACACTTAGAAAGGAGAGGCTCTCTCTTGTACCGGAACTGGAGTTCAATGTTTTGTCTCTCTGGGTATTCTGCTCTAGAGCCAAACGCACCTCAAGAATCTCACTCCACTGTGCCATTCTAGCAAAAAACTATTCAATCCACAGTAGGGCTTCCAACTCTGCCTAGACACAGCAGGTATGACTGGCTGACTTTGCTTTCCTCCCCCCCAGGTTTCACTGCTGACTTGAGGTCCAGCACTGGTGGTCAAGCTTTTCCACAACGTATCTTTGATCATTGGCAAATTTTGCCTGGAGATCCTTATGATACAACTATTAGTCTTTGGCAAGTTGTGGCTGAAATACGCAAGCGCAAAGGCTTGAAGGAGGGTATTCCACCTCTAGACAACTTCTTAGATAAGTTGCAACCACCTTCTCTGTTTATCATGTTACAATGCCCAGTTTCACCTTGTTACATTTCCTCAAAACCAGGAAGGAAGTAGTAAGCTTTGAGAATATCACATTGAATACAAACAATCCAGCATATTGCAATTATATCATGTTCATTCCCCCCCCCCCCAAAAAAAAACCTGAAAAAAAAAAGTTATGTTGACTGACTAGTTATTTTTGTAAGCAGGCCACTCAGTAGTTACCTACAACTTTCACAAAAGAGATTATTTCCATTAACACGTAGTCTGTTTCAGAACTGTCCTGATGTAGAAAACAGTGGAGGCAGCTGCTTTACTATAGAATTATGCAGGAATTCTTAACTAAATTTAAGTTTTTCTTCTTAGTCCCCTTAAAGCTAATAATCTATTTCACTTACCCCTTTGAAAACGTACATGTTCTTGATGATATAGTGAAAGTGATCTTAGAAACCAAGCCTTTTAACACAAGATTAAAGTTTTGAATGAACTTAGATTATCTATTTTGGTATTAGGGAAACTGAAGTAGACAATTAGAAAAAACAGCCCCCAATTTCTTACTAGCCTGTTCCAGTTTCTGAAAGAATTTAATAATGTAACTAAAAAGGTGTTTGGGAAAGCCTTCACCCGAGCTGCTCCAAATAATAGCCATCATCAGTTTGTGGGGGTGAGGCTAGTTTTGCTTTTATCTACCACTATTTTCTCTACCCCTCAGAGTATGTAATAATGTAGGGATTTTTTTTTTAAAGTGGTAGAAACTACTTTCCTCTAGCAGCTGAACAGTATCTGGCTCTGTTCAGTTCAATTAAGTTACACTCCAAGCAAAAAAAAAAAAGGTTCTTTTACAGTGGAAGCTAAATGGAAGTGCTTACATTTTATTACACTAAAAAAACCCTCAATATATATCAATCTTGCTATGAAGCGAGGAACATGCTGAAGTACAAAGCCTTAAATGTTCCCCCTATTGCATAGGTGCAATAAGGGTACCCTATGCTGCCCAATTCAGCATGTTCTCCAACACTGCAAACTGCGTTCCCTAGAGTACTCAAAATATTCAGTATAAACTTTCTAGCAGAAGGGTTGGTATGGCTGACATATCAAAGCAGTCTGTTAGGAACCATCCACAAATATCTTAGCTAGTAGCTGCTATATGTACATCTGTATAGTATTAGAACTGTAGCCAGCTATAATTTGTCCATGGAAGTCTTTCAATTGCATTTATGGCTCTCACTGTACTGTTGGGCCTGATATTTAGAACTATGCTTTCCTATTAATTGAAGGTAAACCTTGCATAGGACTTCCATCAAAAAGTTTTGCCAGTTTTTAAAACAAAAGCAGCCCAACTTTGAAAAACTGCTGCGATAACTCATCTCATTCTACAATTGCCAGTTTGCAACCGACGAAAACAGCGATGGACGAAACTGAATTACATTTGTCAAGCTAAAAGTCACACACACAGCTCAAACTTGACTTCCTCTCAGTGCTTGTAAACTTCTCCGAGAAGAGCGGTGTTTGAAAGTGGAGACTGCATTTGCCCCAATTACTTAACATAATGATCATTGTTATATGGCTGAATAGCTCCTCTCCCCCTGCACCTGATTTATACTAATGAAGTGTTTGCTACATACCAACTAGTGGTGCCAAGGAAATACTTCAATTCTGTTATAAATTCCATTACTGAGTCTCTCACAAAGAATGTACTGTTGAGAAACTGAGCACTGATCAAAGCATGAAAGCTGAGAGGGATTATCCCTTCTACTACAGCCTCTGTAGGGAGCTCTGTCTGTCAGGATACATTGGCCATCATGCACCCATGACGCAGCCCACCGTTACCTGCTGCGCTAAGTTGGAGTGGGTTTGTCAGGTGAGTCATTTTTTCTTGTCCCTGGTTGCAGAGCAGCCCTCTGGAGCCCCTTGTATACTAGTATATCCCCATGGTAGCTCTAATTTACACTCGGCCCACAGCAGGTTTCCTGCCAACCAAGCATTGGGCAGAGGGAAAAAGTGTGGCTTAAAGCCACCTTTTGCCTCTTGGGTATGTTTGGTGCTGGGACTCCTGGAGAAGTGGCACAATCTGTCCTGTGGCTATGCGCTGGTGAAGTCCATTTCTCATTGCTGCACAGCCAGTTCTTAAAATCCAGTCCAGGTCAAAGGGTTGTTGTGGGCTTTTGGCTCTCCATCCAGTTTTACATACTGTAAATAATCTTCACGCAACTATACAGGTCAAACCAGAAATTTCTTTTTGGACTAGGACTAAGGTAGTTATACCACACAACTTTGGCTTCCGGCAACTGAAACCAATGCACTAGACTTCCATCTGAGAAGTGAAAAACAGACTATACTAGTTGCTGTAGAACTGCAGGCATCACTGGCAAAACCTTCTGCATAAAGTTCTCAAATTGTGAAGGGACAGCTTGTCACTTCATTTCACTGCTGCAGTATGGATGTTCCAAGCAAGCAGACGAGGCACAGGTACACTGTGCATACCCTTCCACCCTGCTCAAATGGAAGGGAGCACTGAACAAAGCTGATCCTGGGCAATTCGTAAGTATGTTTCCTCAGTTATCTGCTGCTCTGAGAAAAGGAAATCTTTTTTTCTAATTGAGCAGATACAACAGACTAGGAAATTATAGAATTGCATATTGCAATTCAGTGCTTCACATGTTAGTTTATGATCCAGTGTATCAGAATACCAGTCTTGGTCACTGACTTCTACTCCAGCTGTCGTATGCACAACATGCCTCAGGTGGCACATAACCAGGATTCAACACTGAATTTAGTCTGCTGGTTGGATCGTTAGCTGCCCAGGCACTGAGTGTGTGTGACAAATACTGATCCATGCCAGCATCTGCAAAGTACCAGATGTTCTTAGTACAAGATAACTTTTAAAAATATTGTTTATCTTTAGTGTCTCAACATTAGCAGGACTATGCTATTTTTACTTCAAATATGCAATTAGTATAGAGAAAAACACTAATCACCTAAAGAAAATTAGAAATAATAAGCAGCTTGGCTTTATTAACAAATCATGCCAGAAAAAACTTGCTCATTTAATAGGTACAAAGTTAGTAAGTAGACAAAGGGAAAAGAGTAGGGGATGAACTGAAGACTGGCTGAAAGAGCATACAAAAAAGCTACAAGTAACAGGAATGCCGATAATTTGGGGTGGGAGTGGAGGATGACAAAGGGATCTGAAATCAGCCCTGTTTTAACATCTCCTGTATTTACACTTAGTTCAAATACTATGGTAACAAGTGCCATGAGTATGGCTTTCGGAAGGCATAAAGCACACTGAACTAAATGCAACACTTCCTCATTAGTATCAAAAATAAATAAAATATATTAGGGAAGAGACAGGAAAGAATGAGAATGAGTTGTTAGGGGAAGAATTTTAAATATAGTCAATAGAAACACTATACTTGGAGAAGTTGCAATGTCAAGATATACAGACAATACCAAGATTCCAGCTCTAAAGCAAAGCATTTCCTTACCACTTTCCTGGTCTGTAACCCCTTCCAACATGCAGCACTGAGAACATCCATAGAATACTGTGTAAAATTCTGGGTACCACCAAAGAAAATATCAGGGAAGAGGAAGGCAAAGATCAAAAATATTAAAGGGAGGGATTAGGAGGAAAGATTAATTATAGTCCTGATCAGCAAACCCTTCTAGACACTATACACAATAGGACTGTTAAGAAACCTTGCATGATTTGGCCCTATATGTATATTTTGGCTAGGCAGGGACAGTGTCTACACCTGTTTGACGATTATCACAACAAAGAAACCCTCTAGTCTACCATGAAGTTTAACAAGGAGTAATGGGCTGAAAGAGTAAAGAAAGTTTCCCAAACGTAGTGTCAAACTGTGCAGTAGCCAAAAAGGCGAGTGAAGCCGTTTGAATCATTTAAAGCTTAACTAGACAAAGCTTTGGCAAATATGCACAGAGAACAATCCTGCACTGGACCAAAGACAGACTAGACAGATAAGTAACTACTTCGTGATTCCAACAGCTGCACTGAAGGACACAGTTTAGTTTTATGAACTAGTATGGGTAGGCAATTACATGAAGGAAGAAAAAGGATTTCATCGTCTGAACAGGGTTTTTTTGTTTGTTTTTTTACTTTCCACCTTATAGAAGAGGCCTGGCCAGAAGTTAAAGGACCAAAGCCAGGTTCTGCATAGCAGTTTGTTTGTGAATTGAAAGCACACATTAACATCTGTATGATGAAGGGTTTGCATAGTTTTTCTCCAAAATACACAAGGAAGAACACTTTAGGAATTTGCATTCATAAGTAAATAACACAGTCCGGAACCAATTTACAGGATTTTTCCCCCCCATGGAAGGGGGAAGAAGGGGAAAGAAGGATGTAAGGAACAAACAAATATAGCACAAATCATGGCTATTTCACAAACCTTCATTATTCTAAATGAAGTTTATTACAGGCTGCAGTGAAAGAATTCAGCAATGCAGACTTCTGCACCTCTCTCTTGTATCCAGGATAAACATATGCTGTTTTCATTCTAGAGTGGTTAAGTGCCTTCTTTATTTAAAAAAAAGTTGTTTTTTACATTATTGCTGTGTAGGAATCCATCCAACAACAAAACAAAGTCAGTTTCCCCAGAACAAGCCAAACAGTACATTTGTTCTGACGATCTTTTTTACTCCAAATATTTTATGACCGTGGGGGGAAGGGGGGGAGAGAGTTCTAATCATATCTGTTCCTACTGTAGATGTAGTTTTACTCGAGTTTCAGAAGGCAACAGAATCAATCTGTCTCTTTAATAAATATCAAAATAGCTTCCAAGACACTGCAGTTCCTTCTCTAGTCATGACGAGCAGCTCTGTGCAATTACTCCTAGAGTTTTTTGCTGCCAGCGTTTCAGTCCAATGAGATGATGTCAGGAATGCTGCTCCCACTGCTGGTTATGACTCCTGTCTCACTCCTGCTTGAAGAACTAACGTGAGTGCTGCTCTCCTGGTGGCTGGTAGATGTGATGATATTGCCAGGGGTGCTGCTTGTTAAGGTTGAAGTGAGACTATCCAAAAACATAGGAGGACAGTACTGCTTGAAACAAACAATGATGCCGATAAGGAAGAGACTTAACTGCACAAGGGAAAATAAGCTCTGAGGATGCATCTTCCCTACAACAAGTTAGTTAACTACAACAGAAACTTGCTAATACATGCATAATAAGAACCAGACTTTTACAAACCAGCAAGCAAGAACACAGCAAGCAAAGAATGCATCAAAATATATTCTGCTCATTTATTTGAGAAGGCTAAGTTAGTTATAACAACACTTCACTACTTCTAATACATATGCTACAGAACATTTACTGGCATACTATGAAATCTTAGTACGGAGCTGTGGCAAGGTCTTGTGTTGCTTTGACATCTCAGTGGAAAATTTACCTCATAATTTGCAGATGTGCAAGTATAAGAGGGTCTCCTGTCATTTGTGTAATCACCTTATATTTACATAGCACTTTTAATCCTGAATGACACAAGAGTGCTTTGCAAATTGTGTGTCTACAAGAATCAGTTCATCCACGCCACTGAAGTGCAGCCACTTAACAGGAAGAGATACTTGACTCTAAGAACATTTTACCAATGACAAATGGGCTGTAATAGTCGGATTTTTTTTTTGTAAACTAAACTCATGCAAATTCGAAACAGGTTTCCTGAATTGGCAGAACCTCCTTTTAAACTAGCATTATTATGGTTGAATACAGGGAGGAATGTTTAAGGCACTACTAATCTCTAGCAGGTTTGAACGAGTTCATACCCAAAAGGGATCAGAACATCTTCAGTCTTTACCTACTTGATGCACTCTAAAAACGTACTATACTAGTTTTTAAATGGATTCATACTGTTGTGGTGTCTTCAAAACCATCCCACCCTGGGACCTCAGGTCACAGCAAGTGTTTGGAATCAGACTGTAATGTCTGAATTGGCTGGAGAAGTTGATTTACAGCAATATATTCAATCTATATCCTGTGTGTACAGCCTCTATCAATCCCAGCTTGGCAGCCTTTGGATCCCCAACTGAGTCCCCTGCTATAGGGCCCATCTGCAGGGACATGCAAAAAGGAGGGCAAGAGCCCCCCCATGTGTGTTTCTGCAGCCTTGGGCCAGGAGAAAGTGGCAGGGCTGCTGGCTGAGCTCCTCCTGCCCCCATCCCTACAGCTGCAGCCTGCTGCTTCTCCTTCCCAGCTACTGGGAGTCCATGTTGCCTCTGCCTCCAGCCCCTGACTCACCTCAGCTGTGTCTGCAAAGCAGGCAGCAGCACTGGGACTCCAGGAGCACAGAAGCAGCAGCAGGTTGCAGCTGTAGGAGTGGGGGGGAGAGGGGGGAGAGAAACGACGGGGGAGGAGGAGCCTGTGACCAGGTGCCCTGCTGCTTCCTCCTTGCCCAGGCTGCAGGGGGAGATGCTGCTGGGCATTGCGAGAAACGGGGGCGGGGGTCCACTCAAACCTGTCATTTGTGTGTGTTTAGTGTCCCTCCAAAAGTGTTCACATTTAAATTCCTGTGCATGCCCCTGCCCATCTGACACAAAGTACTATCGGACACCGCAACATTAAGTACTTCCTTTTTCTCCAAGGATTGGACAGATGACAGTTGTCCTGAAAGCTCAGGAGAGGATCAGAATCTGTCTCAAATCCTACTCTTGTCTTGGCCATTTAATTAAGATCAAGATCAAGTGTAGTATCCATTTAATATCTGATATAGCCTCCTGCCTATGCAGGGGACTGGATTGTAATACGTCTGATACCCGACCTAGAGTCAGTTACATTACAAAGGGACAGAAACTTTCATGTTTCTGGGAAAAGGACACTAGCTACCTACCTACCTGAGGATTTGGGGGGAGGGGAGAGAGGGAGTCTTCCCTTATTGAAAAGGGATTCTATACTGGTCTATCATGGGATGCTTTGTGCCTTCCTCTCAAAGTTTGGTACTAGCCACTGTTTAAGAAGGATTCCTGACTAATCGGACCACTAATCAGACTAAGAGGAGGACCCGACTAGTCCGGATAGTTTGCAATTCATTTTTCTGAAGTGTATAACCATGAAAAACAAAACATTAAAAAATTAAAGGCCATCAGTGCAGCCAGGAAACATACCTGTGGATCAACTGGGATTAGTGAAAGAAAATCCAAACCTAAAAAGATAAGAGATTAATGTTGTCTCCTCTGTTATCAAGAGTTGTACAGCTTTAAGAAACGTTTTATCATAGTTAAATTGCTTAGTGTTAGCTATAGAGTACTTCGTGAAGGACATGTGATAACACCCGTCTCAAATTATCAAGAGCCAGGAAAAATAAAGTTGTCTAGTTATAAGTGGGTTTTTTCCCCTACATGAAGGTACAGCGACGATGGTGATTCACTGGATATACTGGAAAAAGAAAAGGAGTACTTGTGGCACTTTAGAGACTAACAAATTTATCTGAGCATGTGCTTTCGTGAGCTACAGCTCACTTCATCGGATGCATTCAGTGGATTCCATCTCATGAAGTGAGCTGTAGCTCACAAAAGCTTATGCTCAAATAAATTTGTTAGTCTCGAAGGTGCCACAAGTCCTCCTTTTCTTTTTGACTCTCAACAGCTGCTACTCTGAAACCTGTCATTATGCAAGGCACTGGATATACTGGGGTGATTTTAACATAGTTGCATAGATGAGGAGGTAGCTAATTGGAGATATTGCAAGTGTATGCAAGTTTAGCATAGCGCAAGATTCACTGTGTGACCATAACTTATCAATTGGACATAAAGTGAGTCATAATATTAAGCATGCTGTAGAGAAGTAAGTCCACCACCAAACAGCAGGCCTCTCCTCCATCCAACGGCAGCCAGCAAGGAAACACTTCTAACATCATCCCTATGGTGTTAAAGCTGTCTGGAAACATTAGGAATGCAGAAGCAGTTCAAACTACAAGCTTCAAGGGGCAGTGACTGAATTTCTTCCATCCTATACACCTTCAGTGCTTAAGCATTTAGGGTAGAACTTTCAAAAACAGAAGCCTACCAATGCTAGAGAGACTTTAGTCTTGTATTTTTGAAAATCCTGGCCTTGCCTTCCCCATATTGACAGAAAGAAAGACAAAAGAATAGAGAATGGAATGGGCTACTGTAGAACTCACCTCCTACTCCCTCCCTTGCCAGCCAGCCCTCACCTCCAACTGGATCTAGGCAATGGTGTTCCCTCACCAGCAGGCTGTCTCTCCCCCCACCCACTGAGAAAGATGGATGGGAGATTTGTTTCAGGAGATTTCTCTACAGCGCCCATAAGGGATCCACAACTCATTGTGAAATTCTAGAACTTTAATTCACTTTAACCTTAAGGAGAGAACTAAAGGTGAACTGAAGGCTTTTCTGAGTATTCTACAGAAAGACACTGGGTTTTCTTAAGGGAGGCATGTTGGGAGGGAGGGAGCAATAAAAGAACCAGAGAGCGCAGTGAAACACAGAGGAGGAGATCTATCCCGATACCATCATCCAGGTGGGGGCTGGAACAGGAAAAAAAAAGGCACAAGTGCAGCAGGGAGGACACGGACAGGTCAGGGAAAGGGGTGGGTGTTGGCTGAAACCATTTTCCAAGGCTCTGTGTACTAGTGTAGGTAGAAAGAATCCCAAGAATCCTCACAAACAGCATTCTTGTAAAGAGCAAGGATAGAAAATACCACCATTTCCCACCTTCTGATTGCTATTAGCAGCAGTGTTGAAGAATGCATCATGGGCATTTAGGGTATGTCTAGATAAAAAAAGGCAACAGAGGTCAGAGCTTACACATTGTAGCTCACACCTTAACCTTTTTCCTAGGCTAGACAGAGTAACACTAGGAACAAACCTCAACCAGCTAGATAGAAGTAAAAGGTTTCTCTCCTTGTCTAGAGGCAAGATAAGGTTGAGGTGAGCTGTCACAACTTTAGATGCTTACTCTTCCTGTCTCGTGTTTTTAAAGCACATCAGCCAGGTGATCACACTAACAAAACCTAATCCATCATGGTGAGGCTTCTCCTCTAGCTGATTTACCAACACACAAACTCGAGTTTGTGCTCATTAGAGCATTGTTTTTGACATCACCATTTTGGAAGCTATACGCCTGGAATCTGAGTGTGGAAAGACACCCTTGTGACCTGCTTGCACTGTTCTTGTTTAGATGTAGCATCAGTGCAGCACTCAGTGTAATCTGGCTCAGTAAGGCAATACCTCATTAGTTATCAGAGTGTTGGAATAGGTTTAAAAAAAAAAATTCACCACCACCTACCTGGCAAGTCTGATGACATACTGGATATCTGTGAGTGGTGGAATGGTACTGAGTAGTCTGTTAACGAAGGAGGAATAGCAGCAGGATCAACTGTTGTCACACTGGGCACTCTTACAGTAGATGGCTGATACATGAGAACCCTGTTTTAAACAACATGGGAAATTACAAACAAACAATCTGGCTGTTAGTTAAGAGGAGAGAAATTCTGCACCACAGCGCATTCTCATTCACAAGGTCACTATGTTACAACACAACTATAGTGTGGCTACTCACTACACAGTATTCCACTCTAATCTCCTCTTTCATAACAGTCTTCATTATAACATGAACGTATCTTGGCTCTCAACAGCAGCTGTGACATAGGAGCAAGTTGGCATTAAAACAAAGTACAGGGCTTCAGGTCATTTATAACACTATCATCCAGGAATATAAATGGATATTTGTAAGTGAATTAAGTACTCTGGGGAAGTGAGGAACTGACAGAACCAGCTGGAGCCACGACCAAGCTGGCACTTGTTTAAGCTTCCCCACGTATCGCTATGCCCATGTTTCTCAATGTTGATCTCTAGTGCCACAAAGTTGGTCCAGCATTTATCAGTCCTCTCTTACCAATGTATGGTATGAAAAGACCAAACTCATCTTCATTCACAACTTAAAGCAAGAGTTAAACTCAGCTCTCCAAAGGTCCAAGACAGTTCAGTAACTCACAGGGCCAACTATCCCCTCAAATATTTGAAGAAGATCTTTTTGTAACCCCAAGTCAGTGATAGAAACTTACACACGAAAGATGCCACAATGCACACATTTCTAGACACTGAAAATATGGCTTAAGAGACACCTTAATTCTACAGAAGTAGAGCTGATGTTTTTGTGCTCAGAAAACAGACAGGAATACTTCAGACCAACATAGGACATAAACATATGGCTGGTTGCACCCATCTTGCCAAAAAGTGGCAGCAGCAGCACTATGAAAGGAAGTCACTGGCATCTGAGGTTACTATTAAACCTATTCTTTCCTAAAGATATTTAGGACTATTTACATTTGCAATCAGTACTGAGAGGGGAAGAAGTCTGACTCCTCTGCTGCTCTCACAACAAGTGATGGGAATTCAAAGAGGGTCACCACTGGAAATCTATGAAAAAGTAATTTCAACTATAGACTTGCAAAAGAGCAGTAAACACCTGTTGCTGCAGTGTGAACAGGGCATGCTCAATATTTCATCAGGTGGCAGAAGGGAGAAAAGTAGTAAGTTTTGGGCATGGGGTGAAGAATTTACTTGAGGAAAGACATGAGTGACTATGCTGTGACTCTCAAATGTTGTAGGAAATTTGATTGTGACCAGTCAGTAATGCCAGAAGGTTGACCCTCTGGAATGGGTAGGTGGAGCAATGCTCGGCTCTAATAATGGTCAGCCTAACAAATACTCCCCTTCTTTAGATGAGTAACTGAAAGTCTCTCAGGCCCCCAGAGTAGAATCATAGAATATCAGGGTTGGAAGGGACCCCAGAAGGTCATCTAGTCCAACCCTCTGCTCGAAGCAGGACCAATTCCCAGTTAAATCATCAAAGTACTCCAACTGAAAAGCCCTGATGGGAAGTTGTAGTCAGGGACTGCAGTTGAGTGATGTAAAAAATGGGAGGGACCCAGAAGAGAAAGAAATGTTGGTAATGGTAAGAACTTCACTGGAAGTTAGGAATCCTGTGTCTACCTGGGAAAAACGTGGAGATGAGGAGATAAGAGAACTTTTAGGAAGCAGCACTTCTGACTGTGCCTGACAAGAGCCACTGAACAAAATCCATCCCCCTTGTAACTCTACTAAAGCAACAGAATTGTAACCAGGAGTGAATATGGCCTTCTTGTTTTTAGCAGGATGGCTTTTTGCCATCTTCGCCAATCTTCTGGGGTGGCTGTTGTTTTTTTGGTCCTTAACTCCCATTGCTGCTTCTTCTATCCCACTTAACTTTTCTCTCTCACACACAGTGTTCCCTGTCTCTCTTCTGGCTGATTATCAGGTTTAAGAAATTCAGCTGCATGCAGACTTTGGAAGGAAAATCTAGGAGTTGATTCAACACAGTATAGGGTTTCCCTTCCAAGGCTGACATGCTGGACTTAAGCATATCAATGAAACAGCACTACAGATATTCAGGAGGCAGGCCCTTTACTATTTGTGGTATTTTCAACCCTTAAATGAAAGCTAGTTTAGCAGGAACGCATTAGCATTTTGCACAGGGAACCCCCACTGCCACAGCTATCACACCAAGAGAGTACATTACTGCATACACAGCAAGTGAGGGCAAATCTCTGGGTGATGTAAAACTATATAAAATAATCACCTGTACGAAGATACCATATATTAATACAGGCTACTTCTTGCAGAAGGCTAACAAAAGTTCTGATGTGGAAATTTGGAACTGCATCCAGAAGAGATATTTACAAGTCCATCCACATGTTAGCTTATCTGAGACATTACAGAATAACAACTAACTTTAAAATTAACAAACCCTTTGGTTGGGCTTCCTTGTGTTTCAGACATAAATAGGCATTTCCTTTTGGCAGGAGGATCTTCCTCTTCATCAGAAGAGCTTTCTATTGTCAAGTCGATAACATCTACTTTCTTCTTGTTTAAGTCATTGGCCACTGTCACAGAACATGGTTTGCTGACAACACTGGAACCTAAAGAAAAAGCATGATTGTTTAAGCGATGTTAACATAAGCCATTTCCATTTGTGGTACGAATAGCTTCTCAAATTCTACCCTACTGACCTGAAACATTGCCCTTCTGGCCTCTATATATGAAATCGGAATTCAGAAGCAACCTTGGGATTTCTACTCCCTACACCAAAGATTGGGTGCTCCAAAGGCTTGTCTACACTACCGCCTAAGTCGACGTACGTTACGTCGCTCAGGGGTGTAAAAAGACCACCCCCAAGTGACGTACCTTACATCAATTCCTGCAGTGTCTACACCATGCTATGTCGCTAGGAGAGCGCTCTCCCATTGACTTATTGTGTCTTCAGCAGACCCGCTAAATTGACGCCACTGAATCAATCGCAGTGGTGCTGATTTAGTGCCATAGTGAAGACCAGTCCCAGAAAGACCTGGATCATCCAGTGCATCTCTGTGTTAAACCGAGGGGAACAAACTGCTTCTTGGGCCTCTCCCAGGGATAATGAACGGTCCATTTCCCAAAAGAATCAACATGAAAGAATATTCTGAGAGAGAAAGGGATGTTCTTTTAAACTCTAAATGGGTGAAGGGCCAGGATACTAAGCTCCCATAGTCTTTGCTGGTAGCTAAAAGGGTTATCCTCATTACATCCGAGAGTCTATAATGTTTGGATATTTTTATCCGTTTGATATTCAGTACCCAAATATACATACTTTCTATTTTGGTACACTGAGGACTGGACACTTTCAGGGCTTCCTTCTTAGGCCTCATAGGACACCAAGAACCATCCTCTTGAAATTTAATCTCATCCACATCGGAACATTCATTGAGGATTTCCATAAAGAGCCTGGAAAATAAAGTTGAGTTGCTTTGGTTTTGTTTGCAGTCCTGAGCTAAATCAGAAGTAATGAAGTTAAAAGCCAGCTATGATGGAGTGTGAATTACATCAAGGAAGCTACGGAGAGAAAAAAAAATTTCATCTACCTGGGGTATTACAACATTACTCTACAATCACACCACTACAGCTGTCCTTCTCTATAGATTTCAACTCTGTTCAGAATACCACAGCCTACACCCACTCCACCTGGGGAGCGTTACTGGTATTTATGAACCTTTTCAGGGGAGTAATAGGGATTAAAGATAAAATTATAGCCTTGGAATAAATGCTTGACATTGATTGAAGCAGTTACAGAATATTTTACAGTCCAATTCTATGCAAAGATTTCAGAAGTACAGCCTGCCTATGTAAAAACCTAGTGATATGGTGGATTCTCCATCACTTGATGTCTAAGTCAAGACTCATGTGTTTCTAAGAGATCTGCTATAGCTCAAACAGAAGTTATAGGCTTGATGCAGGAATTATGGAGGAGGCTCTGTGGTCTGGTGTTATGTAAAAGGTGAGCTTAGATGATCATAAATGGTCCCTTCTGGCATTGACATCTCTGAATATTCAAGGAAATAAAGTAACACTGAAATAAGATAGCCAGAAACTGAAAATCTCAATGTTGACAGCATAGCATAGGTTTGTACTTGCTATATTCACATTCTAAGATACAGAACTACTGTAAAAAAGCTAAGTGACAAACTCAATCTCTTACCCATCTAATATTAAACTCTCATAAGCTGCCTTTTTGTCACAGACAGGACAAATCCAGGTGGGTTTCTTTTCATTCATTTGTAGGTAAAGAGCAGCATCAAAACATTGCAGATGTGTGCAGGTAACAGCACGGCATGGGATTGTCAGTCTCATTTTTCCCAGCTGCAAGAGATGCAATAGAAACAAGTATCAGCATGACAGACAAGAGGGAACTGAAATACATTTTCAGAGATAACAATGAAATAAACCAATCACGGGATAAGAATGGTTTCCTGTTGGTAAATAAGTGCCCAGTCCCAAGGTCCTGGTATGCCCATAAATCCTATCAGAATCAACAGGAGTTGCATGTGCAGAAAGAATACAGGATTGTGTCATTCACAGAGGCAAAACCAATGTTTCTAAATGTCAAGGCCCAGCACAGACATTTTTAATAGCAGATTGTGCTGGCCCTATGTCCGTGTTCTATTGCTAAAATTTTGTTATGGTAAAATGTTTGAAGTAGTCATAATATTTTGTACCTTTTATCCCAGGATCTCAAAGTGCTTTATGAACACTGATTAGTGAAGTCTGACTTCTGAATTGGTATTATACCCACTTTATATGGGTAAACTGAACAAAGCAGATCACTCAGCTGGTCACAGTCACACAAACAAATCATGACTGAGCCGAGAATAAAACTTAAAAAGAGTTCTGACTCCCAGGCATCGTGTTCTTGTTAAAAAGATTACAGTACTACAGACTTGAAGCATTATTTCCTGCATGATTTCAATTTAAATAGGCTGAAAGAGAATCCCAAAGTTATTTGTAGGTCTTATGCTTGGGTAACATTCAGTGACAAAGTGGTCAAGAGTTGGCTTATTCTTATAAAAAGGTGGTAGTGTGGTATAGTAGGTAGAACATTTGAGTCAGGAGATCTAATTTCTATGCTCAGCTCTGCCATTTATCTGCTGAGAAACTCTAGATGAGTCATGTCAATTTTAATGCCTCAGTTTCACCCTCTTAAAAAAAAAGGGGGGTAAGGGTGGGGAGAGATGATAATACGTCTTCTCCTGTTTAAAAGGTCTTGAGAGGTACACATGATCAAGTATGTTGCACTGGATGCTCTCACAGCACTTTAATGCTCTCACTTGTTGACTACTGTTTGTATTTAAAAAACAACATACCACTTACTATATTATAGAAATCCCTCTTACAGTAAAAGCTATTTTACAAAGTTCTGAGTTGTGGGTACTTTTTACAATAATCCAACTTTGAATTTAAGATGAACAAAAATAAAGAATGATTCCCCCCAAAATTTAATTGCATATTATACTTCACAACTTTACTTACAGGACACATCAGAGATACCCGCAAACTGGTTGTGGCAATTTCACTATCAGGATCGGCAGTAAGCTTTTCTTTAACTAGTACAATGAAAAACACAATTTAAATTATATTACATAACCATTTTTAAAAATGCCACTCTTACCACTCAGGTGTTTGAGTAGATACTCATTAATATACGGTTTAATTTTCATGTAAAGCCATCTATATTGAGAAGCTGGGAAATCTGCTTGCAGCAAGTATCAAATTTGCATTGATTTCCTAGCTTAAGGTCCAAACCTGCAAACACTGGCAGGCAGAGTACTTACTGCCATCAAGAGTAATCCCACCGATGACCCACAGCAGTTAGCACTAGACACAGTATTGTTTGCAAGAGCAGGCCCTAACCTATATATAGGCTGAATCAAGTACAACCTTTGAAGGGGGCCTCCAAAAAAGTCTTTACACGTCACAGGAAGGTGAACGGCACCTCATGCATGTGGAGAGATTAATGGATATTGATGCCAACACAAGTGCTATATTTTACAGCCCACCACTGCAGAGGTGCTCTTAGCAATATAAGGAGAGTATCCAGGCATTGAGTAGGTGTTCCCACATGGTCTGGAATGAGCAAAAGCAGTGCAAGCTCTCTCTCTACTGGGGATAGAAGACTTCTGTAAATCTGGTACCTTTCACCAATTCTAGATCTCTCTAAAAAAAAAAAAAAAAAAAAAAATTAGAAAAATTCAACCAACTTACTTAGTGCTCTGGAATGGTCTGGGTTTCTGATACCTTTCATTTTTAACCTCTGCAAAAGCATGGCTGAAGTGAGCTGCCGAACAAGATATACAGACATGGAGTAATTCTACAAAGGAAGAAAAATATGATTAAGGATGGAAAAGTTTCATAGAATCATAGAATATCACGGTTGGAAGGGACCTCAGGAGGTCATCTAGTCCAACCCCCTGCTCAAAGCAGGACTGATCCCCAATTAAATCATCCCAGCCAGGGCTTTGTCAAGCCTGACCTTAAAAACTTCTAAGGAAGGAGATTCTACCACCTCCCTAGGTAACGCATTCCAGTGTTTCACCACCCTCCTAGTGAAAAAGTTTTTCCTAATATCCAAACTAAATCTCCCCCACTGCAACTTGAGACCATTACTCCTTGTTCTGTCATCTGCTACCATTGAGAACAGTCTAGAACCATCTTCTTTGGAACCCCCTTTAAGGTAGTTGAAAGCAGTTATCAAATCCCCCCTCATTCTTCTCTTCTGTAGACTAAACATCCCCAGTTTCCTCAGCCTCTCCTCATAACTCATGTGTTCCAGTCCCCTAATCATTTTTGTTTCCCTGCCTTTTAAATCAAAAACAAAAAAAATACAAAAACAACCAGTTTTATTTCATGCAGTAACAGACATACCTCACAATACAGTAAGATTTAAATATGCTAGTAGAATTAAATGTAAATCAGTTCTCCGTTGGTCACACCTTTTTGAAATATTTCTATAGATTAATGATGGTGCAGAAATGGAATTTCTTCCTAAGTAAAGCCATTTATTAATTTGCTGACCAAAGTTTGAAGCTATTGCAATCAGTGGGATAAATTCACAATTGGTTCAAGACAGTGCACCTCTTCACAAAGTTCCACCCTCTTACACCAACAGAGAACTTGGCCAAATGTCAAGTCATGTGTTTGTCAGTTTTATGGTAGGTATCTCAAAAGGTGACCCAAAACAGAATATAAAACTGTTTATACAAAAGCACATGCCTGCCCACATAATCATTAGTGCAGATTTCAGACTAATTCTAACACTATTACTTTCTCCCACATCTCTTTAGCAGGCTCCCAAATGAACAACTGCAGGAGAGTAAAATGTCTAGACATCTCCAATACCAGTAGCAGAGTGGATCAGAGCTCAAGACGGGAGTTTGCTTCAGGGAAAAAGTAATGATGTAGAGATAGATTATTTAATTTCTTCTATCCTACCTCCAGTGTGCAATAGTTCTCTGTAGTAGTTATTAATATCTTGTATTGTCTAAATTGTATTAGAAGAACTGAACTCTGATACTTCACTTGAAAGACTATTCCTCAGTACTACAGATCTCACCAGCAGAAAATTTTCCCCGATTTACCCTAAGTTTTCCCCTTCTTACCTGCAACCCTGTACTCCCAGTTATACTTCCTTTTACGATGTCAAACAATACCTCCACCTGTTCTTGTTATTTATATCCTGGCAATGTTAGAAGGCATATCCCACACATAACTATCACTCAAATGAATGAAACAATATTTAACTCACTCTTCCTGCAAATTTAGCACTCTTCGCCTCAAATAACTTTAGATGCTCTCCTCTGAACTCCCTTCAATTTGTCACCAACTTTTTGGTCAAACTCAGAACAGAGCACACTATTTCAGGTGTGGTCACACCCATTACCTTCCTGGGCTATGATATAACTTTGCGCCACATATGTGAAGGTATTGGTCTATTTACTACTGTGTCATAGCAAAATCAAGCCTAGTCTGGTGTATTCTTGTACTATTACTACTTTTGAGGTTTCTCCATTATTGACCTGTTTTGGTCTATTTTTCCTTGCTTATATTTTCTAAATCAGATCTCAGTTTGCAATTTTCGGTCCTCACTGGTGTTTACCACTGCTCCCTAATTCATACCATCTGCTCATTTCATTAACTCACTTGTCACTTCTTTCAGCTCACTGATGAAGGTTAAGACACTACAGTACCCCCAAAAGACACTTCCCCTCCAACAAAATGTGCTGCTTATAACCCTTTGTTTACAGTTCTTCACAGCCAGTTTTCTTTTCTTTTAGCTGTGGTCTTATGGCTCCCATCACTGTAGTATCAGAGTGCCTCCTATTTAAATACAGAAACACTCCTAAGTATTTAAAAATAGAAACAAAAACATTTCTTCCTTTGAAACCTGTTGAAGGAATAGTCATGTCTGGGTGCACAAAAGTTGTCTACATGCATGTGAGGGGACTGAGGGAAGCCGGGGGGAAGGGGGAGAGAGAGTTTTTGAATGAGTTCTAAAGCTGTCTGTGATCATACTTGTCTCTTGCAGGCACAATTTCCACAGTGTAGATCCAGCTCCTGTGAAAGTTCTGCATTCACAAGGCTTCCACTATCAGTTAACAGATTTATCACTGGTGAATGTAGCTATTGTGGGAGGTTTATGATCACTGAGGGAGAGGGGATTTCTCAGAAGCTGGGATCAATACCATGAAAGGTTTCTAATTTCATGACAGAGACCTTGAACCAGACTACTGAATTCAGGGCTCAATCCTGCAAGATGTTAAGCACTCTGACTTGGATCTAGCAAAGGACTTCACCGTGTGCTTAGATTACATCTTATAAGTAATCCCACAGGCTTCAGTGTCAGAGTACTTCACACTTTGCACAAAAGGAGCCTTGGGAACCAGTGCACAGAGAATACCGCATTGATGTATCTGCAGCAATCCATGTTGGTATGCAGATGGCTTGATGCGTTTAGCATCAGTTGTAGTATATTTGAAATGAGATGGGCTATAATGTCACTAGACCTAAGTTGTCTAACCAGCTTTCCCACTGGCTTCACATAAATGCTGAATACTATGAGGGAATCATTACAGGTTGTCTTCCTCTCTAATATTTATTTTAGAGAATGTAGTTGTCAAGATCAAACCTTGTTCCTTTTTTGAGTAAAGATACTACATGTTTCTGGCATCTCATCAGTTTTCCCAACTTTAGAACTGAAGTGTCAGTCATACAGCAAGTTCCTTGCTAACTTCACTTAATAATCACAGGGCGACTATCTTCCACACCAACTAAATTATAGATCTTGAAATTTTTCAAGTATCCCTTACCTGCTCTTTATCAATAGCCATTTTAATATGGTCTTCCTCACCTCCTAGTTGTCCGAACTCTTTCCTTTAGCTTTCTTGTCAAAGACATTTTAAAAAACAAATTCAGTATCAACCTTTTCAGCCATCATTGATTTCCCTCCTTTATTAAAACCAAATTCCTTTTAGAACTAATTTTTCCTATAATACATTTTTTTCTAAAACACCCTTGTTCCCTTTAGCCTCTTGAAAGTATGTCTACACTACAAATAAATGTATTAACTCGGGTTAAAATAAGCAATGAAGACATGGCAACTCTGCTTTTAACTCGAGGTAGCAACTTAAAGCTAAAGCCCATATGGGAGCCTGGGGCTGAACTTGAGCTACTAACCCAAGATCAAGTCAGAGTTGTCATGTCTTCATTGCTACTTTAACTTACATTAGCTAATATAGGTTAACAAACCCACCGTAAGCACACTTTTTTTGGTAGCGTAGCTCAAACTCAGTCTGTTCTTTTTGCTTATTTGTCTTCTCCATGAAAATTTACATGAGTCTATAACTTTGTATGGCTGACTCCCTCTTTTTCCACTTGCAGTGTTTTGTTTTTTAAAAAAGCCTCATCTTTCAGCAGTTCCTAGTCTCATTTTACTTTACACAATTTATGTGGCTTACTTATTGCACTCCACTTTCATCACAGGCAGTGAAAATAAACTGATCAGTTTATCTTTCTGGTTTCCATGCATGGGTAGAATGCTTTAATATCTGAACTGCACACACACTGAAGATAAGTTTCAATTCTAACAAACAGTTTTCATGTGAATTTTTAAAAAGGATCATGAAAACAGTTCTATTAATATATGTCTCTTTTGAAAAAAAAAATCTTAAATCCTAAATTACTTGACAGCGGCCTTTGTATTTTCACAAGAAAGTGAGATTTTCTAGAGCTGCTTTTTTTTTTGGGGGGGGGGGGGCGCGCGCTGGCCTCCCTGCCACTTGGAGTTCAAAATACTCTTTTCCACTAGAAACAATTAAAGCTTATATAAATTAAAAGGTATACCACAGCTCCCTTAGAAAAATGGAGACTAGGGAGAGAATTACTTTGAGTCTCTTCCTCTCCACCCACCCTGAAGTCACTCAGCCCCTTGAGGGACCAGGCTCCATTTGCAACAGAGGATGATATGCTACTCATTATAACCACAGATAATTATGCACATGCTCAGTTTTATCATGAGCAGTGCCACTGAACTTAGTGTGAGAGAAAAACTGGAGACTTAGCTATGTTCAAGTAACTTCTTTTATTTACTAAATTGTGAAATTAAAATTGGTTTCATGAAAACATTACTGAAAAATGAACAGCATTTGGGTAGAAAATAGGAAACTCAAACGCATGTCTGTATGAGGGTGGCTGGAGACAAGGCATGTCTGGTCATTTTCAAAATGTCTGCTCCTGTGCCCACTGATTTCTCTCACTGATCTTAATGGCCAACTGCCTCATAGAAGACTCATGCTACAGAGCATTTTCTTTGTCACAAACTATATCAAGTTAGGAAATGGCAAGTTCCTTTCTTTACTAGTCATTTTTATTATTCATCTCACTACAAACAGTGAAGAATAAAAAAACTGTTCTCTGAAGGAATTCTAAATCCTTTTACATTATTGTTTTACTTTAATAAGTTTCAGGTGAAATGCTGGCACTGCTGAACTCATTGGAGTTTTGCCATTGACTTCAATGGCACCAGATTTTCTCCTATAGTCATTAATCATGCACGCTCTATGGAACTTTTCTGCAAGCCCTACATTCCTGTAAACTATTTAACTTTTTATTAAAGCTTCTAAGATAAATGTTTTCTTCCTAGCAAGCTACTGGATGGGAAGAGAGTGGAAATCTTTATAGTGAAGGAGTACAGGCAACATATGTTAGCACATCTCTGGTCAGCAACGATCAGGAAGGAGTAATACTGAGTGAGGTTACTCTCATACTTCAAAGAACATAGTTTACCTTTCCAATTTCAGATGCCCAAGAAATGGAGATCTGATTTGGCACTGCTGATGATAATCTAACTAGAGATGTAATATTCAACGGGCGGCCGGGTCGCTTCTGCTCAATTCCATTTTTTGGTGGTGGAGCATATCCCTGCAATAAGGAAGAAAAGAAATGTCTCTCTAAAATTTTAGGAACTCCTCTGACTGTACTCTGAAATCTACCAAAGAGACACCATTACAAGGTTTTTGGAAATCAGAAGTTTTTATACAGAGTTATTTTTTGGCACTCATTTTGTATTTTGCCATCACAAATCAGTTACATACCTACCCTTCTCTCCCACCCCAATAAGTCTCTTTTAATCACTAGCAAAGAGATCTTTACTTCAGTCTAGTGATTGGGTATGCATCAAGTTACATGCTCTGTCCCGAAACTGTTATCAATATAGAAAAGTTCTGTACAGCTTTACAGAGCTGTACAAAGATTATCTGTAAATGGGTAATGTTCTCCTCCATTTTCATCTACCCTCAAGCTTCAGAGTTCCTGTGCATACAAGTCACGACCTTGCCCAAATGTTAACTGTTATGAAACCACCTGCCCGTAGAAATGAGTCTCACATTAGCCTTCTTTGTGCTTGGGAGATTTTGCAAAAAAAGTTTCCCACAGTTGCTAACATGGTTTGGCTCCACCACTTTTTGTCAATGTTTGTATTTGTCTATTGGCCTAGTATTTGTCTGTCCTTCATCCTCACCATGAATATTGCTATATACCAACAGCTATAAATGGCTCAAATTTTGGAGTGAGATATCTTCTACAAAATTTCCTCACAACTCCAGGAATTCAAGCCATCTACTGAGCACAAAAAAAAAGAAAGCACACTCAGATTAAAAACAGACTGCATACAACCAAAGCAAACCTGATAAGATTTTGCAGATGCTAAGTAGAGAGGCTTCCCTCACAGCCACAGTCAGAATTTTTAAGATGAATCTTTATGCTGCAATTTATCTTTGTCACAAATGGACCAAAATTAATTAATATCTACATAGTACTTTTAACATGTAAAATGATAAATATTAGCATTGGTATCTTAGTGATCATCAGTGCCTAAAAATGCCCGATGTATAGATCAGTAACTGTACAGGCAAATTAGGCATAAATTTGTGAGCATATTTTTGAAAAAAGTCAGGCCCTTTTTTTCCCCCACTTTAGACTTTAAGGACACAAATCTATCAGCAAAAGCTACATATTGAATAGAATTTCAACAACTTACCGGCAATGGAAATAACTTCCCATTTACTTTAATGCACAAACTATTGGGATAGTTATCTTCTTGAGGGCAGCTAGTCTCTGCTAAGCATAACCTATTTCCAAAAGAGAAATTTCATTTTTAAGTGAGTTACACTCAAAACTATTTATATGTGTTAAAATATATTTGAATTAAAATAATCAAGTACAAACTTAATGTAAGAAAAACCTTGTATCACCTTAGCTGAACTTGGACTGTGTAGTCCCTCCTGCCCCCTGGCAAGAAGTCCCTGTTGAGGGAAAAAGAAAAAAAAGAAAGTCCATTGAGAGAAAGAGAGGGGCAGGGATTGGAGGGGAAACAAAATCTCACACCCCAATTTATCACATTTTAAAAAAGGACAGACCTGCTCCAACATCTCTAGTTACTTTCAAGACTCTGAAGTTTCTCATTACTACACTACCCATGTAGTACAAGAACAAAGCACTTGTAACCAAAACAATCTATTTGTATTAATTAAAAGGATAAACTAGGTCTGTGCAAGGTCTTGGGACTCCAAGGAAGTCGTGAAGAGAGAGGGGAGAAAAAAAATCCGATGCCACCTGAGGCGGGAAAACCAGCCCAAAGGAGGTCCTCCCTACCGCACTCCACTGACAAACAAGGATAGAGGGTAGAAGCAGCATCCCACCCCAGCAACTAGTGATGTAAATATCGTTTTAAAAGATAACAGATTTAATAGTTTAAACAGAGATTCGGGCCTCATGTGCAGGACTCTCTCCATTTCAGGCAGCACCTTTGTTCCGAGGATGGCGTATCTCCCCTCCCTGCCTTGCCCCAGACAGATGGGAAGGGCAGCTAAGCTCATACCAGGGGTGACAACAGGCCTAGCCAAGAGAGCCTAGAGTAGTTGAGGGGGCTCAGGACCTCCCTCACATCCTCAGTACCCAGGAAAAGGGATAGGGGCCACAGGTACCTAGTTTGTCCCGATGCGGCGTCCGCACACACTCCATGCCACCCCAGCAGCAGCTTTCCTTACCAGTGTGCAGACTGCCTCTGCAGCCAAACCCCTTCCAGTGGCACAGGGAGAAGCCAGGGGATGACTTTACCCCCCCCCCGACAGGGCCCGCAGCCCCTGCCCACCTCCCTGGCCAAACACGCACACCCTGCCTGGCTGGCCATGCCCACCCTCCCCCATCCCTGCAAAGCCCCTGGGACAAAAACCCTGTTGGGCTAGAGCGTTAATATCAACGCAGCCCCTTTAAGACAGGGGTGGGCTCCCACTGACCCTCGTGATGCCTACCCTTTCCTGGTTGCCATAATCACCTCTTGCCAGAACCTGGTCGAGACCCGCACACATGGGGTTAATGGTTAGGGTGGGTTAACGGTTAGACTAATACTTACCGGTTAACCAGTTAATATTTTACATCCCTACCAGCAACCAGGGAACATGGGAAGAAAACAGTCTGCCACTCTTGCAGCAGCCATGAAGGCTATTTGATTTCAAATAATCAGGTCCCATCTTCTTATCTAACTCCCTGATGATGTAGGATTGTCCCCCAACATAACCATTATGTGTTTGTACAAACACTAGTTTTAGGTGTACTGAATAATAGGCTCCCACCCACCACTTTACTTGAAAGGTTGTTCCACAGGCGAAGAGATGTGAAGGAAGATTTTTCTGAAACTCCCCTGCAACTTTGCAAAAGCAGTGATTTAACACATGCTCACAAATGAATGCCAGGCACTCCCTCTTACCTGGAAATGCAGATTTCTCTGACTTGCTGAGGTGTTAAAGCAAAGATAAAAAACTTCTCTTGGAACCTCTGAATACTGCTCTGTACTGAGAGAAGACATGCAAAGCAGCTTTAAAACAGAATGGTCCACTAATAAAAGTCCAAATGATTGCAAGGGTGGTGAGTTAATAGAGTCCACAACTCTGCTTTCTTGAACAAAACAAAGGTCACATAATAATGGAGTTGCTGCTGATTGCATGCAATTATCAATGAGGAATGGATATGAATCATTCAATTATAGTCAGATAGCTTAATATTAAAATTACATTTAATACTAAAATGACATTTTTGCCCTCTTCAGAAGCTTGGAAAACTAGGTTTATTTTATTCCTAGATTTTACAAGGGACTATACAGGGTTGAAGTGTCCCAAAATTTTCGCTGGGTGTCAGGCGAACATGCAAAGCAAACATCAACCCTGCATTTCCTCCCACATATCCTCATAAAAATATAAGTAGAGTTTGAGATATTACAGTAAGTAGTTATCAGACAAGCATGTGCACAAGCTGTTATTGGCCAGGTGGAGAACAACGATTCACTGGAAAACTGCTTTAATCCCAGGAGTGGTGAAGAAAGTTACACCTTTGGAAACTACCAGACCTCAATGCTAAAGAAAACCATCTATACGAAGACCTTGTCTACACTATAAAGCTTTTGCCAACAACATGGGAGGCATGCACACACTACTTAGCTATTTTGGTGGCAAAACTCAGCTGTTTTGCAGCCAAAATAAAACCACCTCAACGAGAGGCATAAAGCTTTTTGTGGCAAAGTGACAAGGCATCAGTGTAGACACTGCTGTTTGTTTTGTCGACATAACTGGCTTCCACCAGTGTCCCACAATGCCTGTCGTGACCTCTCTGCTCACTATTTTGAACTCTGCTGCCCTGCGCCCCTTCCCTTTCAAAGCTCCAGGAAGTATCTGACAGCTGAGCGTGCAGCTCCCTTTGGGGAACAAAGAGCAAATCATTAATGTGGAATGCTCCTGTTCTGCCCTGCACTAGGAACACAGGGGAGCGGGGGAGAACAGGACAACTGCTATGCTGCTTTGACATTCCTCAGCAGGGAGAGCTCACAGAGCTGCTCAGGATGTCACTTCCAGCAGCTGAAGAGGCTGTGGGAGAATTCGGAGGGAATCACAGAAAACCCCAGGCAGGCAGGCCAGAAGAGACTTGGGGAAGAGCCTGCTTAGCCGAGCTGGGGTCTGATAGGATAGGTCAGTCAGCCTGATGTCTCCCCTGCCCCACACACACCACTCTCCTCTACCTCCCCCCAACATTTCAATTGAAAAGCAGCTGACAATCTACTAGGATACCTGGAACATGGGATTGAGAAATCTGTGTCATGTGACATTGTACCTGCCCAATCACAGAATATCAGGGTTGGAAGGGACCTCAGGAGGTCATCTAGTCCAACCCCCTGCTCAAAGCAGGGCCAATCCCCAATTTTTGCCCCAGATCCCTAAATGGCCCCCTCAAGGATTGAACTCACAATCCTGGGTTTAGCAGGCCAAAGCTCAAACCACTGAGCTATTCCTCCCCCCGAGGCATTGCAAACCCTTCCCAAAGCACCTTGCGGCTAGTTGCACAGTGGAATAGCTACCCACAATGCACTGCTCTCTGTTGATGCAAGAATGTGGATGCACTCTGGTGACACAAGGAGCTAGTGTAGACATGCCACAGAGCTTTAATTAAAGCGGCATAACTTTTGCCAACAAAACTTTGTAGTGTAGACAAGGCCTAAATATGCCTGGGGATCCCCCTTATGAATATTTAAGGAGGCAGGGAGGAAATCAGACTAATGGCAGAATCCTCTTACTGACTCCTACTTGGCCATTTGTGGTGGTAATTATTTTAACATGAGAACAGGGTGCAAAATGTGTTACCTTATGGATTTCTTTTCTGGGACCAATCTCACCCATAATACTGAAGCAGTTCAGACTTGTTTACAAGTCTGGGGGCTCTCCATTTGTCCTCCCTGTCAGTGAGAAAAGGCCCATGAAATTTTCATCTCTTAAAAGTAGAAAAGAGTGGGTGTGGGTTTTGCCGCTATGGCTCCAAAGATTGCCTATAAAAACTAGGATTGCAACAGGCAACTTGGAAGCCTTGAACTGCCATGTTGATTGTACCACTGGAGGCAGAGAATTTGGGGGCAAGGTCATAAGTGGCATGGCCAAGTCTCTGAGCCGCATAACAGCCTGGGCTGCCAGTATCTAAAGAGGGCAGTAGTCCAGAAATCTCAGATTGTGGGAAGGGTCAGGATCCAGAAAATATTAAACAAGTTTTATTAAATATTAAACAAATAATAAACAAGTTTTTCTTACTATGCAGAAAGGGAGCTAAGGGTGGGCCCATAGGCTGTTTTTGTTTTGGGGGGGTTGAGGGGGAGCCTGAGCTGGTAAAAGTCTCATGATCATTTGGAAAGGCAGGAGTATTACATTAACCGACATGTGGTTTGGTTTTTTAAGATTAAAAAAAAAACAAAAACACAACACTACATTGCTAGTATGCAAATATATGAACTACTCATCCCTTCAAAAAGTCATATGGAAATAACTATACTCCTTAGCTGCTCAACCATAAGAAAAAAGAAAAGGAGTACTTGTGGCACCTTAGAGACTAACCAATTTATTTGAGCATGAGCTTTCGTGAGCTACAGCTCACTTCATCGGATGCATCCGATGAAGTGAGCTGTAGCTCACGAAAGCTTATGCTCAAATAAATTGGTTAGTCTCTAAGGTGCCACAAGTACTCCTTTTCTTTTTGCGAATACAGACTAACACGGCTGTAACTCTAAAATCAACCATAAGAGTCTATTTGCCCTCCAAATCCTTAATTCTCAAATACACACAGCGAGTTGTTTGTTTTCAGTCTCAAGAGCCTTCCTGGGTCTACTAAATGGGATTATGCATAATCCAAGTCTGTTTTATTTTAAAACCAGTTCTCTTTCACACACAAAATCAGTAGTTAATTATCTTGATATATTTCATGTAAAAAACTCATATGGAACTAATTACACCAAGTAAAGCTCTGTTTAGGGCTTGGCTGCAGCCAACCTCTAAATATTAATTTGTAGAGCTTGATGTGTACTTTAAACTGACAGTAAAAATGGCGTTTTAAGGGTTCACTCTCTCTCAATAAAACGCTAGCTCAAGCATGCCTGGTTTACAAATTTTTTTTTTAATTTATTTTATTTTAAGTGTTTTTCCTGTCAGTCCTGCAAACAGCCTGGGATCTGAACATCAAGCAAAAATTCTTGACTTCTGCGTCATCACTGGAATAATTCATCAGGCAAAATTCTTGGACTCACTGACAATTGTGCAGGACTAACAGAAGTAAAACACTTCTATTGACTTCTATTAAATCAGAATATGCACAGAGAACACATCTGTTAAGTAAAAAGTGGTGATGTTCCTCCCAACTGCCCAAAATCACTTCTACAGCCTTACTCTAACATGCTAACAATGCTATCCTTGCGAGCAGCTTTTCCTTTTTTAGTAGCCACAAGACCCTTGATTTTTTCTACTATGGAATACGGGGATATACAGGTTAAGTGGCAGAACTTTGTTGGATGTTTAGAAAGAGCTCTTTCTAAACCTTCTGTCTAGCCAAACGGGTCAGTTTTGGTTTTCGAACTACAAGAGGTCGGTGAGGTGATCGCATTGGCTGTCACTTTTGGTTGACAGTGTTTTTCCCAGGTCAGTGACTTCAAGCTCACAGAGGAGTGCCCAGGCTTTACTACTAGAATGAGCGTAGCGAAGACCCTCCATTATTTTGTTCCATCTTTTCAGGCATGCAGCGTTCCATGACAATTAGTGCTTTTGCTGTATCCAGATCATAGTTCTTCTCATACTCTTCAGCTGCCACAAGGAGCATAGACCATGTGATAGCTGTGAGAAATATGTTTCACAGCACCTTTGGTAAGAACATAAACAAGGCGGTCAGAGAGTCCTGGGATTGATCAGATATGGTGTATCCTTTCTACAATTACTGCGGCATATGCAATGCACATCTAAACTGACTTGCAGAATAGCAGAACAGTGTTGGCTGCAAGCAAAGTCTCCAAGCACTGTCTGAGTTTTCAGAGGAAAACCACTATTGTCTTTCATCAGAAAGCAGAGGTCCAGTGTTCTATCTGCCAAAGCAAGAAGTCCCTGATTTTGAACCTAAACAAAGATGGTAGACATCTGCAAAATGAGGTCCACCAGCTGCATCATGTCTGCTATAGCCCTATTCTGAGTGGTGGCTATTTAAGTTACCAAGGTACACAGCCAAATGGGGAAAAAATGGAAATGCAGGCTTCAGCCATTCAAGATTTGGAGGTTTGCACGCATTCATTACGGTCAGTTGTCCAAGTTCTTACTGCAGCAATAGAAATTCCCATGGTCTTGGGATCCTTCAGGACTGAGACATCTTTAAGACCATGCCCAGGCCGCACTGAACATCATTCACAGCAGCAATGAGTTCATAACCATTAATATTGCATCTTGCAGTTTGCTTGTAATCTGCAGCATGAGTTTCTTAGTAGATCATCAAAGTTATTCACCTTGAGAACTCTTAAAAGACAGTCATACTTAGCAGGAGACAAGCCTAAAAAGCTGTCATGAAGTGACAGTCATTGCCCTCTTCAAACATGGGAAGCCAACAAATGATACTGCCAACAACTGCTCAATATCACTCCTTTTCACAATTTGCAAGTTAATGGAAAGGGTCTTACTGGCCCATCTCACCCTATCTTTGAGGATGCTTATGGCTTTGAAAGGCTGAAAAATATTGCAGTTGAAAACATTTTTTAAAAAGTGAATTCATAAGCATGATACCCAGCAAGGAGAAGGGTTTAATTACTTCAGGAATGCAAACATGTAGCACAATTGTGCTTTTATATTGTGGCCAGATTCTCAAGGTGGGAATACTTGTCCATTTCCTCTTCCTGGATTTAGCATTAATTTTTATCAAGTCTCCCCTTATTGCTGGCAGTTCCCACTGTAGTAATCATTCAAGGAAATTCTACGGTTTGGTTCTATACTATGTCTAATTTAACATTATCTTT